TGTTGTCCTCTTCAGAATTTCTGTCTTGATCTTCATTCTTCTCATAATAGGAATCTATGGTTCGCTTCTTTTTACTCGTGGTGTTTCTTTATTCCCTGGCCTTTAAAGGATTGAGCTCTCCTGCTGGGAAACAAAGGGTACTGACCCAAGCTTGTGTTGGGAGCCTAGGTCTTGGTCACTGGCTTTGCGTTCTGGGGCCTGTTACACTGGGATTTGGAAGCTGTAGGTTTCTGGCGGCTTACCTTGTGTTGGTCTGGAATCAGCAAGGCTGGAACTTTCAGGCAATTCTAGGTTGCCTGCTTTTCCTTTCCTTTAGCTTTCTTCAGCTCCTTTTCGATGGCTGCTGCAGGATGTTTATCTGCCTGGGGCCCCCTGTGATGTTGTCTCCCTCGTTTCTGCTGATGCACTGGGAGATTTCTTTGTGGTAGAGTGCGGAGGCACCGGGTGGTTTTCTGATCTGGTTTCCACTGGTTCCCCAGCCCTCACTGAGGCTGGTGTGTTCTACCACTTGGGCTTCAGGATTTCATCACAATTGGAGGCTTCAGGGCTCCTACAGCTCACCTGGTGTTGGGCTGGAACCACCAAGGCCAGGGCTTTAGGAAGCCTTTAGGTTGCTTTCTTCACCTCCTTTGAGATGAACGTCCCAGGGTACTTATCTGCCTGGGGCCCCTTGTAGTTCTGCCTCCCTTATTTTTGCTGAGGCACTGGGAGACCCGTTTGCTGGGCTGATGCACTGCTGCTCCCCCCGTCTTTCTTCTAGTTCAGGTGTTCCAGGGTTTTTATTTCTGGGGTGATATTTTCTGGGTTTTCAGAGGTTGATAGGGGAGAGTGAGAGCGACTATCTTTTCACTCCACCATCTTGGCTCCTAGAAACGGAACAGATAGTTTCTTGAAATATGATATCTAGGCTCTTTCTTGGATCATGGCTTTCAGGTAGACCAATAATTCCCAAATCATCTGTCCTCACTCTATTTGCCAGGTCAGTTATTTTTCCAATGAGATATTTCACATTTTATTCTATTTTGTTTTGTTTTGTTTTGTTTTTTTACTTTGGTTTTTTGTTTCTTGATATTTCAGAGTCATTAGCTTCTACTTGCCTAATTTTAATTTTTAAGGAATTATTTTCTTCAGTGTGGTTTTTTTTGGTGCCTCTTTTACCAAGCTGCTAATTCTCATGTAATAATTTTGTTCTGTCACTCTCATTTCCTTTCCCAATTTTTGCTCTACCACTCTTATCTCTTTCTTTAATTCTCCCAGGAATTCTTATTGAGCTTGGGTCTAATTAGCATTTTTCTTTGAGGCTTTCTTTGTAACTGTTTTCACATTGTTGTGTTCCTCTGAGTTTATGTCTTGGTCTTCCTTGCCACTGTACTAGGTTTTCATAAAATCAAATTCTTTTTTCACTGTTTTCTTATTTTGCTAGCCTATTTCTTGACTTTGAACTTTATGTTAAAGTTGTACTCTGCTCACCTGGGGCTGGGGAGGCATTAACCCAAGCTTCAGACTTGTTCATGCTGCTGTTTTCAGAGCTAGCTCTGGAAGGTCTTCAAGTTTTGGGTGCTGTCAAGATGTTGTGATGCAGGGAGAAATGTGTTCACTGCTCTTCTGGTCTGGAGTCTGGTCTTTACCCAGGAAGGGCCCCTAGTCATTCACAGCCATAAGCAACAGCACTTCTCTTTGCTTTGGATCTATGACCAGGGCCCCTGCTTCCTTATGACTGACCACCAGTGTTCCTTTCCACCCTGGAACTGTGACCCAGAACATCTCTGGGCTGAGAGCTCCCATAGTGGCTGCTGCTACTACTGCTGTGGCTGCCCCTGCATGTGTGGGTTCCAGACAGGCCTCTACTCCAATGTCATAAACTTAGAACAGAAAAATGTCTCACCAAGACCTTCTGTTCTCTCTGCCACTTCAAAATATGATTTGAGGAGTTATTTTAAAGTTGTTTAGATGGGAATGTTGAGAGAGTTCAGCTGAATTGCCTTTAATCTGCCATCTTGGCTTGTGCTACTAAATTATTAACTATTATTATTATGCCTTTATCTAATCTTTTACATGCATTATAGAGAAAGTATTCTGGGCTCTACATGTTGTTGGTTAAATGAAGGTGAAACAAACACCTGAAAGGAGAGCTAGGAACAAGTCAAATGCAGAGGGGCTAAGCATTTTATCCAAGTTATCAATGAGAGACTCCCAAAGATTGAACTTAGTGAATGTGAACTTGGTTTCATTTCTAAGTCCCAGTTTCTATTTAGCAAGCTGTCCCAATATTTAACAAGGGAAAGAAGGTAGAGTCTGCATATCATAGGCCAGTTAGTTTGTTAATATATGTCCCTAATAAAATTCTAGTATGGATTTTTAATTGTAATGGGGACAATTGTATACTTAATTGTATTAGATATGGACAGGGATTGTAATTATGCTTTCACTAATATAGGAATCTCCCAGATTAGGAAACTTCCTCTACTAGTACAGGCCAGCATCTTCTCTAGAACTTATAATATTAAAGCACTGCCTAGAGTGTTAAATAACTTACTAAGGGTCATAAAACCAGTACATGTCAGAGGAAGGAATGAAACCCAAATCTTCTTGGATCCAAGACCTACTCTCTATCCACTATACTAGGGCAAGAAATGGAGGAGGGTGAAGGGATGGTGAGGGAACTTGAAAATATCGCATAAGGATCCATTCATAAATTTGAAGTCAGGAGGGAGCTTAGAGTTCATCTACTTACATGGATCATAGGTTCACAGATCAAGAGATAGAAGGACCTGAAAGGCCATCCAGCCTAACCCTCTCATTTTACAGATGAGGAAACTGAGGCCCAAGGAAATTAAGTGATTTTCCCCAAGTTTACACAGGTAATAATAGGAAGAATGAGAGCTGAACCCAGAGATTCCAAAATGTTGAAACTAGCAACAAAAAGACTTGGGGGCAGGGGAGACGGAAGATATGGTCATGTCTTCAAATATCAGAGGGACTTTCATGGAAAATGGGTGAGAAATTATCCAACTTGTCCCCAAAGAATTGAACTCTGACTAGGAGATGGAAGTTAGATAGTGAAACAAAATTAAGCTTACTATAATGAAGAGCTTCCTAATTGAAGGTGTCAAAAATTGCAATGGGTTGCCTCAACAGGCCAGTAATCAAGGATTTTGTCTAAGGGATTCATGCTTCAGATAGTATTTGGAGACTGTTATCTCTGAGGTCTCTTCTGACATTATGATTCTGTAAGTTTGCACTTCTGTAAGGATGGATTTTCTTAAAACAAGACTCACCTGTAAAAGGATAGACAAATCAACATAAATCAACAAAAACACCTTAGAAAGCATCTAGCCCAATCCACTCATTTTCAGATGTGAGGAGACTGAGGCCAAGACATGTTAAATGATTTAACTGAAGTTATGCAGATGATAAATAAAAGAAGAGAGATTTGAATCTGGGGCCCCTGACTCAAAATCCAATGATCTCTTCACTGATTTTGGCACAATGGAAAGAGCCTTAGGCTTGGAGTTAGTTTCCATGTCTTTTAAGCAAGTAGAATAATCTCTGCCCAGTCCACTTCATAGGGCTGATGGCAAGGTTCAGTGCTATAAAGAATGTGAAAATGCTTTGAAAGGTGAAATTTCTATACAAATCTAAGGGGTCATCATTGTTACCCTCCCAGCCAGAGCTGCTAGCTCATCCATCTGCTTCTCACTTCTTTATTTTTTTCACCACTTCTCTGATTCTTACTGTGTGCTCCTGCCTCCACTTCCCCACCCTTCCCCACCCCTGTATATCAGCTTCATTGAACAGGGGGAAGTGAAGACCATGGAAGTCAGACAGGCAAAGATAAAGAGGCAACTTAAAGCACAACAAGAAAACAAATCATAAATGTATGCCTAATTACAAACAAGGGGAAGCTGGTAGAGATAGAAAAATTTTTCTGGAGCTTTCTCACAGTTCTTAGAAAAGGACAGTCACTTTTAGGGCGATTTTTAAATTTTTACTGTTTATTTATTATTAAGATTCTTTTTTTTTTTTAAATTTTGAGTTCCAGGGGCAACTAGGTGGCGCAGTGGATAGAGCACCAGCCCTGAAGTCAGGAGGACCTGAGTTCAAATGTGACCTCAGACCAAACACTTGACACTTACTAGCTGTGTGACCCTGGGCAAGTCACTTAACCCCAACTGCCTGAAAAAAAACAAATAAAGAAATAAATAAATTTTGAGTTCCTCCTTCCAACCCTCCCTCTACCCATTGAGTAGGCAAGTAATATGATATCAACTATGCATGAAGGACAGTCACTTTCTAGTAACAGGCAGTCAGGGTTTCCTTTTTCTTCTAAAGCCTCATAGCTATGGCTTTTCTCTTACTACAGCTCAACTCTCTTGGTTCAGTCCCTCCAGTTCTATTGAAAAGCTTCCTGTCCTCAATGTAACCCTGCCCAGTCCAGTCCAAATTGTGCAATGCCTAAGAAGAATGCTTTGTAAGCTAATACGCAAATGCCTCTCCCTTCACGTGGTAAAGAGTCAACCAACTCTTTCTGGAAATGGACTTATGAATATATGTAGAATGATTTCAAGACTTATAAGAGTACTCTATTGATACCTCATGTAGTAAGTTAGGGAGGTTTTGGAGCCAAAGAATGTGGGTTCAAATCCTCTCTCTTATGTATCTCACCTAGGGGACCTTGGGCCAATCACTTAATCTCTCAGGGCCCTAATCTCAAATATAAAATGAGGTGGTTGGATCTACCCTGAGGTCTTTCCAGTTTTAGGTCCTATGATCTGATAGCTTCTTTGGCCTAAAAGGAAACCAGATCAGGCTGAATTGTCAGATTAAATTATGCTGTTCTACTTCATCTGCATGCTATCCTTGTAATGGATTATTTTTTACCTAGGATTTCTTTGATTTTTTGTACTTTGGCACTCCTTTTTATTTAATAGTTAACTAACAATATATGAGCCAATTCTCCTATCCCTTCCTCCACTTTTTCTTCCCCAAATAAAAGTTCTATTTGCCAAGTATTTCCACAGAATCCTGCCAGATGACGACCCTTCACAGTCCCATCTACCCCTAGGGCTTCCTTGCTCTCCTGGGTTTGCTAGGAACCTCCTGGAATCTTCTGGGATATTCTCCACTACTGACCAAAGGTATTTTTTTCCTTAGGGTCTTTGCAAATGAAACAGCCAGGTGGGCAGTATCAGCAAATTAGGAGCAGAGGAGCAGCCTAACACCAATATTCACATTTCTTGTCCTGCTGTCAAGAAAGACCATTAAGCAGAGCTAACTCTTGCACAGGGTGAATAGGGAATAAATGGGACTGTTATAAGAAAGGGCATTTGAATTAACCAAAGTTTATGATATATAGGCTGAAACAGATTTGCTCCTGTTTGCGGGTCTACTAATGGATTGAGAGGGACCCTAGAGAACATCTAGTCCAACCCTCCTCCTCCAATGTTACATCCCAAGAAACAGGCCCAGGATCACAGAGCCAGTAAGTGTCAGCAGCAGGATTTGAACCAGGTCTTCCTGACTCCAGGTTCAAGAGTCAAACCACTATGCCAGACTGCCTCCTCTAAATCATTTCCTCTTTGCTATAGCCTTCTCTAGCTGTTTCTTTATGCAGTAACCTGGTATGGACATCAGATAGGAAGGGAATGGTAGGAAATACGAGACAAGGATCACTAATTTCTGGGACAGTCACTCACATGTATATGTAGTAGGGATTTGGGCCACACTTCTGTTACCTTAAGTAAGGTCAAGTCCAATTCAACTCAACAAACATTTAGAGCCTATTAGATATAGCCCACTATGTAGCCCTGGGAGTATAAAGCAAAAATTTAATAGTCCCTGACCTCAAGGAGCTTCCATTCCACAGGAAGGATATAGCATGTACAAATAAGTCTAGAAAAAGGAAAATTTAGGAGGACAGTGCACCAACAGTAGAGGGAGAAGGACACAAGTAAGCCGAGCTTTGCAAGGAAGATAAGGATTCAGAAGAGCAAAGATGAGTACAGGGTTTCTGTAAATGCTAAAGGAGGGAGATGGAATGTTGAATTCAAGAAACAGCTAATAGTCCAGGTTAGCCAGAATGTAGAGGAAGAGAAAGAGTAGAAAATAATACTGGGAAAGTAGGTGGGAATTAGATAGGAGTGGGCCTTAAATGCAAAGCTCATTAATTTATATTTCATGCTATCATTAATGAGGGCCCTGTGCATCTATTACAAACATCTATAGATGAAAATATTGACAGAATCTGGGAGTCTATCTGGCAAATTAAGACTTACCTGAGAAAAACCCAATACATTTTCTCTTTATAAGAGGCACAGATGGCTGTAATGGAGGCAAAAAACTCATTTCATGCAAATGATTGAAGTTGACAACAGATGTATAAATTACACTGTCAAAATTTTGAAATCTTCAGCAGAAGATAATACTGTCTTTATGTGTAAGAAGTTAGCAGAATATTAACTAGCAGTATGATTGTAATTTTATAAACTGATATTCTTTTGAGGTCTCCCAGGTTGGACACGGGGATGAAGTGCTCATAATTATATGTAAGAAGCTGTGGGGTATACCAGATAGGAAGTCGCCCTCAAGATTCAGAAAGAACAAGGTTCAGGTCCTGCATCTGGCACACACTGCCTATATGACTAAAACCAAACAAATAAGTAGAAGTATATGCACTATGTTCTTCTCTGGTGTCATAGTCCAACCATTATTTTTATTAAATGGTAATTCCTATAAAGTCATTCTCTGTGGCCTAAGAAACCATAGAAACCATAAATATGATGCTCACTCAGTGGGAGTATTAAGACCAAGATCAATGAAATGTAAGAAGGGATGTCTGCAAGGATATATAGAGCCTTTGGGGATTCTTCCAGTAATCTGAGATTCCGTCTGCCATCCCAAGAAACCAAAGCACTGTTAACAGTGTCCCATGCTGTTTTCTAGACTCAAACTCTCCCAGTCTACCTTAGACAAAATTGGGAAGTTAGTAAAATTTGTAATGTGTCTCTGGTGACTTAACCTTGAACTGTCGACATAAAAGCTAAGGTCAGTCAAAAGGAAAGAGCATCTTGCTACTAGGACGGATTTCTAAAGGAACTTATTGGACTTCTTCTAGAGGGCTTGAAAAGATGGACAACCATTATTGGTTTGTCTAAGATAGATGAAGAATAGAGAAGGTCTGTCCAAATGTCAAGAGACAGTATAAATCAGTTCTCTCCAAAGCAGGGAGCCAGCTTTGGACCTGGAAGAGGGGGGAAGGGGGTGCCAGGGCCTGATCCGAGGGAATGTGTGATCAACCAATTGGAAAGTGGGAAGATTGGTCACATCCCACCCCCTCTAAGACAATTAATGGAGCTTGTTTCCAATACAACCACACTTACCCCTATTTTCGAATGTTCTCTTACTCCTGTTTATAAAATCCTAGGGTCCCCCAGCCCCTTTCAGCCCAGTGTCAGCCTCTCATCTTCAGCAACTGTGCAGACATCATTGAGAAAATTCCCCTTCCTAAAAGGTAAGAGTGTACCAGGTCATCCTATGGCCCTGGCCCCAGCCCTTCATGGAGCTGGTGATTCTGAGCAGTGACCAGTGAAAATCCCCACCTCCCTCCTTTTGGTTTTAAGTGGGATAATGAAAGATACAGAATGAACAGGCATAAGTGAGCTTTGAGAGACTATTACATCTCATTATGTTATCTTTCCCCTCAAACACATCCCTCTTTTGAATTTCCCTTGTTTCTGTCAAGGGCACCACCCTCCTTCTTCTGCTCACCAATGTTTGAAATCTCAGTGTCATCCTCAATTCCTCATTCTGACTCAAACCACGTATCCAATGTTCAAACCACATATGCAATAAGTTGTTCAATCTTGTCTTACCTCTCACACAGACACCACCACCAAATTCAAGCCCTCGTCCCTCTCTTCTGTATCATTGCAGTGGATTCCTAATTGGTCACACTGCCTCAACCCCACCCCTACACCCAACCTATCCTCCAAACAGCTGCCAAAATGATTTTCCAAAAGTGTAAGTCACCCCACGTCACTCCCCTATTCCATGAACTCCCATGGCTCCAAACTGATTCTAGGATCAAACATTATTTCATCTTTATCTCATCTTTTTTAATTTCTCTTTTGGGTATTATCATGTAGATAATTATCAGTATAATAGTGCACATAAATAATTTACAGAAAAGAAACTTGGACCTGTGATTATATTGATAGAAAACTCCCAGATCAGGAAATTCCTTCTACCAACATATGTCAGCAGAGTTCCCTGCAACTTGTAGTGAGAGAGTTTCTGAGTCACACAGCCAGTATGTGTCAAAGATGAGACTTGAACCCAGGTCTTGCTCATTCCAAGGTGAACTCTCCATCCACTACACCATGCCACTTCATTGTAATTTGTAAATAAGTAATGTACACATATTGGAGGCTTATTTAAAATTTCAAATTTTTTTTTTACCAATTAAGGTGTATGATCACAAAAGTTTGGAGACCACTGATCTAAACAACCTATTCTAGTGCTAGGGTCTTAAAATTCAGTGAAAGTAACATATAATAATACCCTTGTAGGGGCTCCCCATTTGGAATGAACACAGTCAACTTTCCTGACAGGTGTCATATGTCAAGGACTTATGTTTATGAGTAATTCAGATTCACTCTTGCTTGAACCTGTACTTTTATATTTCTGAGAAATAATTAACCTGATGGTTGTTTCCTTCTTTGGCAGATAAAGTGGTCCTGTCCTCAAGGAGTGAGCACTTTCTTTGACTCTTTATCTCTGGAACTTTCCTGGTCATGCAGTTGCTAATGAGATCCCAGGTGCTCCGAGGACTTTGGATTCCCTGGCCAATCTGTGGTTCCCTTCACCCTCATCGTAGGCACCTCCTTGCCCGGCCTTTCTCAAGGACAGAGACACCACAATGGGGAGACTATGAAATCCCCAAGGAATTTAATTTTGCCAGTGATGTGATGGATCACTGGGCACGTATGGAGAAGGTGATGGGGAACTTTTCTGGGCTGAAGGGAAATCAGACTGAGCTTAGTCCTTACCGTCTATACAAAGATACACCCTAGCTTCTGGCTTAGGAAGACTGTGTCCAGTTTGGTGGTAAATGGCCTAAGAGATAGCTATATGCCTGAAATGCTCTGCCCACAGCCCTGTGTCCTAAGACTAATATAGCGATGCTAAGCCTATCCACAGATAGGTGGGTTGAACCAAGACAGGTCTCTAGAGATTCAGTTGGGACCAAAGTTTTCACATGCCCATCACTGTATGACTTTTTCCATCCATTCCATTAAGCACCTACTAGATACTGATTGTAGCATTGGATGCGCCTAAATAACTAAACAACAACAGGTACTGATTGTATTGAACAAATAGAACAGGCATGGTAGCAGCCCACCAGGAACCACCAGTCTGATGCAAAAAATGCAGAGGGCAGAAGTAGACAATTTTTCACAGATGAAAAGCCAACGTTCTAACATTTTTCCTGGTCTACAAAATATTTTTTATTAAAGGTCCTTACTTTTTAAAGATGATAAACTTAATAAATTGATTTTCTTTCCATAAAGCAAAAAGTCATTTGTTAAACATTTACTATGTGCTAAGCACTAGTGGCGTAGTGATTGGAGAGCCGGGCCTAAAGTCAGGAAGACTCATCTCCCTGAGTTCAGAACTGGCCTTAGCTGTGTGACCCTGTTTGCCTCAGTTTTCTCATCTACTAAAATGAGCTGGAGAAGGAAATGGCACAGCACTCCAGTATCTCTGCCAAGAAAACCACAAATGGGGTCACAAAGAGTCAGGCGCTACTGAAGCAATTGAACAATAAAGCATTGTACCCAACACTGGAAACACAGAGAAAAAGGTAAAAGCAGCTTCTGCTTTCAAGGAACTCCTATTCTCAAGTCAATAACAAGGAACATTTAAGAAATATAAAGAGTAAATAACAACAACAATTATATGATAAAAGTAAAAATAACTAGCATTTACATAGTGCCTACTATATGCCAGGCACTGTGCTAAGCACTTTCCAATTATTATCTCATTTAATCTTCACAACAATCCTGGGAGGTAGATGGTATTCTGACTCCTATTTTATAGACAAGGAAACTGAGGCAGATAGAGGTTAAACCCAGGGTCACACAGCTAGTGTCCGAGGCCAGATTTTAACTCAGGCCTTCCTGACTCCAGGCCCAGCGTTCTATCCACTGTGCTACCTAGTTGAATTTACAGGAGCATTCTATAAAACTTTTAAGCAACAATTAATAACAATATTATGCAAATTATTTATAAGATTAAGAAAGAAATCACTCTAGAAAAATCCATTTGCGAGAGAAATCAAATCCTAATAGCTAAACTGGGATGACTAAACCAAAGAAAGAGAGCTAAAGACCAATATAATTGATGACTATTGATTCAAAAATTCTAAACAAAAATTCTGACAGAGTAGATGGGAAGTTATCTCAGAGCAAAAGGCACAAACAGCTGCAAGAGAAAAAGCCTCCTGCAAAAGGTGAACTTGGAGCAGGGACTTGGAAGGAAGCCAAGGAAACTAAGAGGCAGAGATGAGGCGAAAGAGAGGGCATTCTAAGCATGGGCTACTGCCCAGACAAAAGCACAGAGATGGGAAATCGGGTGTCATGTATCAAGAACATCATAGCTGAATTGTAGAGTGAGTAGAGAGGAATAATGAATAAGAAGACTGGAAAGGTAGGAAGGAACCAGGTTATGAAGTGCTTTGAATACCAAAAGACCTAATATTTTATCCTGGAAGTAACAGGGAGACACTGGCATTTTTGAGCAAGGGAATAACGTGATTAGACCTATATATGCTTTAGGAGAATCACTTTGGCAACTGAGTAGAGGCTGGATTGAAAGCAGGGAGGCCAATTGCAAGGCTACTGCAATAGACCAGATAAGAGGCAATGGGCATCTGGGTCTGTAAATGCCTGTTTTAACCATGTGATTTTGACCACAGGAGGGCAAAAGAGACCCATTAATCCCTGCCCTGTGGTGGGTGAATGACAAAGGGGATGAAGTGAAATGGAACTTCCAGGAACTGGGTGACTTGACCCGACAGGCAGCCAATGTTTTAACGGAGAACTGCGGCCTGCAGCGGGGAGACCGGCTACTTCTGATCCTGCCCCGGATTCCTGACTTGTGGCTGCTGACAGTGGGCTGTATTCGGGCAGGTCAGTGATCAAGCTTTCCCCAAGAAACAAATCTCACCAGTTATAGGCAAGGGTTTTCATGATGCTCCTTGTCACAAGCACCTCAGCCCTAGTTCATCCAACGATGTATTGCCAATCACTGTAGGAAAATCATTTTTTTGGGTTTTAGTTTGTTTGTTTTTTGGCTAGGCAATGGGGTTAAGTGACTTGCCCAGGATCACACAGCTAGTAAGTGTTATGCATCTGAGGACAGATTTGAACTCAGGTCCTCCTGAGTCCAGGGCCGGTGCTCTATCCACTGCACCACCTAGCTGCCCCCTGGAAAATCATTTTTAAAAATAAACTTTTACCTAAATGAAGGGAAATAATATATGAAATTGAGTAGTTCCTAAAATATGATGAGAGAAAAGTAAAAGAACCCCAAGTCATTGAAAATCTTGACTTAATAGATACTCCAGAAATTATACCTAATAAAGACATCATCAAAAATGCACTGACATTTCAAATGATTTTTTTTAAATGGACATGCTAACCCCAAAATAATGAAGAAAAAAAGACCTCTTTTAGAGTTTGACAACATGAATCCAACCAGTAAACCAATACTCTATACCAAAGGAGAGTAATTTAAAAAATTTTTTCAATCAACAAAAATCTGCCTTCTCTCTCTTTAACCTCCCCATCAGAGTGAAAGAAAAACAAAAGCCTCGTTACAAACAAATGTTGTTGGTCAAACAAAACAAATTGCATATTGGCCACGTCCAAAATGGAAGAGGGAGAAAGAAAGAAAGAAAGAGATGAGCTCATTATATACTCTGACTCTTTTACTTCAAGGAGACTAATTTTTAAAAGCTAGTATCAGCTATAGCCATCATGAGGGAATGCATTGTGCCATAGTATTTGACAGAAAGCATGAAAATATTTCAGGACCAGAGCACAGCAATATATATTATCACAGTAAAAGCCACCAGAGGAGAGGTGAAGCTGCTAAATGAAGGCATCAAACACCATTGTGGCAGAAGTGACTTGAGAAGATTATTGACACCCAAATTAAAAACTTGAACACCATTCTGCCCAATTAAAGTAATTTTAAAAGTAACATGAAGAAAAGTATCTAGAGAGTAAAGGCATTTTAGAAATCCTAACTTCCCTTAATCAGCAACTGGAAATAAAAGTCAAGAGGTTAAAGCCAGGTAAGGAGTCAAAGCAGAAGAGGCTAGAATTATACATCAGAAGCTTGTTGCTGCTGTCCAGTTGTGTCTGACTCTTCATGATCCCATTTTGGGGTTTTCTTGGCAAAGATACCAGGGTGATTTGCCATTTCCTTCTCCAGCTCATTTTTGTAGATGAAGAAACTGAGGCAAATGGTTAAATGACTTGACCAGGGTCACATAGCTAATAAGTATCTGAGGCGCAATTTGAACTCAGTTCTTCCTGACTCTAGGCCTGGCACTCTATCCACTACACCATCTAAGTGCCTGTACAGACTTCAAAATAACTTGGAGAATTCAATCAATAAACTATATTGGAACCAGATCATTATCTCAGGGTGAACTCTTGCCTATAATCACTGAGATATAACAATGATATACAGAAATGTAAGTGCTACCTTTTAATAGATTATCACCGTCCCAAATACTCATAATCAACCTACAAGCTACGTGGAACCAAAGATTTTGAAGTGTGGAAGCCTAAGAAAATCAAAACATTTGGGAAAAGGGTGAGATGTGTATCACCCCCATCATCCTATCTGCTGCCAGAGTTGTATCAGGGATGCTTTCAGTGTGCCCACAGAGGGGGAGCGAGCATCCTAATGCTTTCATTCAACTGCAAAAGGCAGTTATATTCCCACCTGTGCAATAGCCTGTAGAATATGAAATATAAGGGAATAAGAGCCAGAGAGCAATTGTCAGAGACTTACTAGCTGTGGAACCTGGGGCAAGTCACTTAACCCTTTTTGCCACTCTAGTATCTTTGACCCCAAATGGGGGTGTGAAGAGATAGACACAAATGAACAAGTTCACATAGGGCAGCTAGGTGGCACAGTGGATAGAGTGCCAGGCCTGGAGTCAGGAAGACTTCTCTTCTGAGTTCAAATCTATACAGTAGCTAGCATTTATATAACACTTACTATGTGCCAGGCAATGGTGTTAAACAACAATCCTGGGAGGTAGGTGTTTTTACTATTTTCACTTTACAGAAACTAAGGCAAACAGGCGTTGTGACTTGCCCAGCTTCACACAGTTAAGTGTCTGAAGCCATATTTGAACTCAGGTCTTCCTGACTCCAGGGCCGGTGCTCTATCCACCATCATCTATAAAATAGGAAGAATGCTACTAGCATAGGATTGTTATAAGGATCAAATAAGGTAATAACTGGAAAGTGCTTAACACCATCACCTGGCACAATCTAAGTGTCATATAAATGTTAGCTACTATTAACTGGGCATCTAGGTAGTGCAGTGGCTAGAATGCTGGGCCTGGAATCAGGAAGACTCATCATCCTGAGTTCAAATCCGGCCTTAGACACTTACTAGCTGTGTGACGCTGGGCAAATCCTTTAACCCTGTTTGCCTCAGTTTCCTCATTTGTAAATTGAGCTGGAGAAGGAAATGGTAAACCACTCTAGTGTCTTTGCCAAGAAAACACCAAATGGGGCCATGAAGCATCATATACAACTGAATAACAACAAATCATTAATTATGAAGAGCCTGGAGCAGAGGGAAGTGAAATGATTTGACCAAGTTCACACAATGTGTGAACAATCAGGATTTGAACCAGTACTCTTCACCATACTGCAAACTCTTTAGCCTGGTATCCAATGCTCTTCATGATTTATCTCAATCTACCTTTCCAAATTTATCTCTTACTAGTCTCCTCATGACCTTTTTCTCCACACAGACTGGGCTCCACATAATCCCTTAACATATCCAGTTCGTTCCCTCTTCTGCCTATCAGAATCCTATTCACGTTTCAATGCCCAGCTCATGGTTACCTCCTCTCAGAAGCACTTCTTGACTACTCTAAATCACTGTGATTTCTCTCTCTCTCTCTCTCTCTCTCTTCTGAGCCTTATAGTCCTTCTTGTCTATAGCATTCATTGGATATTTTGGATCATTGAATCGTAGGATTTAGGGCTGGAAGGGACTGTTTAATTAAACCCCCTCCTTAAAAAGATGAGGAGCCTGAGATTGAGGGACATGGGATGACTTGTTGGAGGTCACACAGGACGTAAGGGGTGTAGCCAAGATTTGAAACCAGCTCTTTGAACTCCAAATCCAGTATTCTTTTCATTATGCCTCCCTTTGAGTTTGGTTTTCAAAATGTTCCTGTTTTATAAAACAAGGCACAATTCAATCAACAAGCATTTTATCAAGCACGTGCTGTAAGCCAAACACTGCTCTGCATAGGAAGATGAAAATGAATCCAAAAGATCCCAGAAGCCTGAGAAACTTACTAGCAAGCAAGCAAGCTTGCTTTTATCTGGTGTCTATGACTATTATCCATGAGCTTTTAACCAGGAAGCATGGCGTGAGGGAACTGGGATATGAAAAACTTAAGGGAAAGTGTGCTAGGCTAGGTTGAATAGATTTGGATTAATAATACCTGACATTTATTTGTACGGTCCTTTACGTGCATCATCTCACTGGAAGCTCACAAAGAATCTTGTGAGGCAGGTACTACAAGCATTATTATCCCCATTTTGCAGATGAGAAAATTAAGGCTTAGAGAGGTAAGAGGTCACATGTTTTCACAGGTGTCAGAGATGATCAAAGCCTGATCTTCCTGAAGCCAAGTCCAGTATTTTATCTACTATATTCTAAACTTTCCTCTGGGTTGGTCATTTCCCTCCTCTGGGTATACTAGAAAATGAGAGTGTTAGTTAAGTTCTCTTCCAGATCTAAAAATCCTATGATGTTTATTTTGTTCAGGTGTTGTCCTCCTACCTGGAACGATCCAGTTGACAGCCAGAGACATCTTGTATCGGCTGCAGTCATCAAAAGCCAAATGCATTGTGACCAATGAAACCTCAGCCCTGGCCGTGGATTCTGTGGCATCTGACTGCCCCCAGCTGAAAACCAAGCTTCTAGTATCCGAGAAGAGCCTTGACGGGTGGCTGGACTTTAAGACGCTGCTTAAGTGAGTCTATGATCCTCCTATCACAATAGTGGGAGCTCGGGGGAAACTTGAAGGTCTCTTTCCAAGTACTAAGAAGCAATATGGGTGTCATTGAAAGAATCCTGGACTGAGTGTCAAAAGGCCTAAATTAAAGGACCAAACTTTCTATGACTAACTGTATGACACTAGGCATATCACTTCCTCTCTCAGTGTCCTCATGAGGAGTCTATATTCTACTCCAAGATCCCTTTAAACTCTAAATTTCCTAACCCTTTAAACCTGCAGTGTCTAACAATGCAGAGTTGTACCTAGGCAGGGCACCTGGGGCTTTGCCTCTGGGCATGAAAATTTAAAGGGTGCTGACAACACTTACAGAGTCCTGCAGTAGGTTGAAACAGCTGAGCTTAGCACCTAGTTAGCAAGAATACTTATTTAACATGCAAAGCTGGCATGTTTTCCACCAGACCTCCAACTGGTTCGTAGAAGGGGAGTCCTCCCTGGATTGACCCCACCCTTCCCTCTCTCCCTGCAGAAGGCCCCTCAGTAGCAGCCTAGGTTCCAAGGGTTCTATCTCCCTACCAGAAGGCAGTGGGCCAGGATCTCTCCCTCCAGGGTCCCTTCCAAAGATGTGATGTTATTCTCCTTAGTCTCTCTTCCCCCACCAACCGACTTTGTTAAAAATTTATTTGGGGGCCCTTTTTTGCTCCATGCCCAGGATGCCCTAGAATTGCTAGTTACTGCATTGAACATTTTGGAGATTCTTAGCAAAAGAAGAAAAAAAAATGTTTAATTTGATTCCTAATACACATCAATTTGTAAGCTCCTAGGGCATGACCCCTAATCTGCTAATATTTGTACCTCTTGTGGGTGATTGTTACCAGGTGTCATCCTAGGAGGTTTTCATTAATTGGTCATTATAATTGAAGGTCAATGTAATGAGGTGTTGCAATGGATAGCGTGCCTGGCCTGGGGTCAGGAAGACTTTCTGAGTTCAAATGTGGTCTCAGACATTTGGTTTCTGTGTGACCCTGGGCAAGTCATTTAATCCTATTTGCCTCAGTTTCCTCATCTATAAAGTAAGCTGCAGTAGGAAATGTCAAACCACTCCAGTTTCTTTGCCAAGAAAACCCCAAATGCAATCACATGACTAAATGTTGCACATGACTAAAACGACTGAACAACTGCAAAAAATGTAATGAATAACCATATGATTAAATTCACAGAGCCTGCATGCCTATGAATTTCTATTCATGTGGCCTATCCTGGAAAACTGTGGGTGTCTATCCTCTAAATCATAGGATCATAGAATCAGAACTGAAAATAGGTAGCAAAGCCAAGATTTGAAATCAGGTCCTCTGACTGCAAATACAGCCTTCTTTCCACAATACCACATTTCCCCTCAATCTTTCAGGATTTTTCCATTTACCCACTTGGTCAAGTACAGGACTCCCTAGCACAAAAGCCAGGGGACATCTTTTTAAAAAAAATTTTGATAAGTATTTAATTATAATTGGGCTCCTCTGTGATCCTATGTATTTCATTTTATGTATTTAAAACCATTATTTTTGAGAATTCTATTCAATAAAAACTTATCAAGCACCTACTGTGTTTTCAGGAACTATGTTAAGCACACTGGGGATTTTGCTGTTGTTCAGTCTTTTTCTATCATGTCTGACTCTTTGGGACCCCATATGGGGTTTTCTTGACAGAGATACTGGAGTAGTTTGCCATTTCCTTCTCCAGATCTTTTTACAGATGAAGACACTGAGGCAAACAAAGTTAACTGACTTGCCCAGGGTCACATAGCTAGTAAATGTCAGAGGCTAGGTTTGAACTAGGAAGATGAATCTTCCTGACTCCAGGCCTGGCATTCTATCCACTGCACCATCTAGCTGCCCATATCCATGCTCTAGTACCCATTTTATTCCTCTCAAGATGATGCTGAACAATGAAGCTAATGACTGTCATTTCATCTCAAATGCCTTACAGAGCCGCATCTGTGGACCACACTTGTGTAAAGACAAAAATGCAAGAGCCTATGACTATCTTCTTCACCAGTGGAACTACAGGCACACCCAAAATGGTCCTGCATACCCCTGGGCTTGCACTGAGATCATGTCTCCCATCCACGTAAGGGAAAGTTGCGGGGCAGTGAAGGGGAGAGTGAGGAGACCCTCTTAGAGCCCAGGCCACAGACCCTAGGCTTAAACCAAGGCAGGCTTAATGAAAATCAGATCTAAAAGAATGTGAAACAATCCTGCTTCTCCCCCTGGTTCCCTTTGGCTGCATTTTTCTAGTGTTTTTGTGCCTAGAAGTGAATGTTTAATCTTTGCTGAAGCTAGAACCTAGAAGAGCTTGGAGCCCAAGGTTGGAGAAAAAGGCTGGGAAGAAAAAGTTGAGATGTAGCAACATGAGTGAGGTTGGAATGAATTTTGCAAGCCAGGTATAGTGCTTTCAAACTGGATAATGTTGATTACAACAGTCTATAAAACTTCATCTGATCCCTGATTAAAGGCCATTCCCTGGTATTTTGATGAGTTTATCTTCCAGTGATTGAACCAAAGCCTCAAAAAAAAGTATCAGACCTGAATTTCCATTTCATTCATGTCCCTGCCCCACCTTCAGCAGACATTCCACCATTCCTCATTGTTTCACAAGAGGAACCAAAGAAAGACATTTGACTATACCTCACAACTCCTTCTTTATTCCCTATTACTGGGGTAAAAGCCTCATCTTTATGAGTCAAAGACAACCCATTGTTGTCAAAAAAGGTTTGATGATGGCACCAGCAAGGTAGGGAGAAAGTGAAACTCTCATTCTGTTTCTTCAACATCCCCACCCCCCACCTCCCCCCCAGCGATCTCTCTGTGTTCCTTGTCACTATTTGGACAAAGGCAATATATAGCACCGTTCCCTCTGTCACCCAGGATCAAAAGTCTCTACTTACCATCCCCACGTCCAAACAGTCATCATGTCCTTCTTGAGTTAGCCACCATGGTATCTCTCACATCTATCACCTCCTCTGCATTCCCACTAATGCTGCATAGTACTAATTGCCTCTTCCTTGGACTGCTGAAATAACCTCCTAAATGGCCTTCCTTTCTCCAATCTCTTCCCATTCCAATGTAGCCTGTACTCCTACCAAACTAATCTTCCTAAAGTGCCACTCCTGATCATGCCAATCTCCCATTCGGAAACCTTCAATGGCCCCCTAATACCTATTGATTCATGTACAAGCTTGTTAGTTGACATGTAAGGCCCCTCATAACCTAACTCCAATTTATTTTCCCATTCTAATTTCTTGCTAATTTTGAAAACTAATTCCTTATTCCTTCTTCCCTTACCTTTCGCTGTAGTAAAATTGGACTGTTTGACATTTTCCCAAATACATTTTGTATTTTTTTATTTTTGTACATTTGCTCAATGATATTCTCTCTGCCCTTATCCACCTCACATACAACGCTAATTCTTAGACCTTCAAAGCTCGGTTCAAATGCTACTTCCCTGCCTCCTCCCCAGCTGGAGCTGACTTCTCCCTCCTTTCTTCTGTCACAGCACTTAGTACACCTTATTTTCACCTTGTATTATCATTAACCATAATAGCAAATAGTTTTGCGATGCTTGCAGGTTTACCAAATACTTCTACATATGTTACCACATTTGATTCTATCAACAACCCTACGGGTTTAACTATTGTTATCCTCATTCAACAGATGAATAAATTAAAGATTAGAAAGGTAAATTGACTTGCCCATGACCTCACTAATATAGTAAGTGTCAGAGGCAGGATTCAAACCCAGGTCTTTGCTTACCCCAAATCTAGACCTCTTTCCACCATAGTACCCTCCCTCTATTTTTGTGTGTATCTCATCTGTATTGCATACAGATTGAAGGCAAATCTGTATACAGATTTGGAGGAAAAATGCCCTATCTTACTCGTCTTTTTATTTCGACACAGTAAATGTCTGCTAAATAAAAAAAAATGAGTACTCTCCTCCTCAAGATGACTCCTGTCAATCAAAGATACTTTCATCAGCATAAATCCAGTTCTCACCAACAGGTGCCAAGCAGTGCCTCTCTAGGATTATCCATTCAGTTCTGACTCCAGTAACCCTTGTTTCTTCAGTTCTATAGACCACAAATTTACCACTTATTTTCCCACTTGTTTTTATTATTTTATTATTATTATTTTACAATTTCCACTTGTTTTTATTTCCCACTTATTTTTTAGACCATACCTGTGATTTATTGATATAGGGAGCTTACCTCCCAGGATTGTTGTGAGGATTAAAAAAGCTAACAATTATAAAGTGCTTAACACAGTGACTGGCATATAGTAAGCACAATATAAAAGTTATTATTATTATTATTGTTGTTGTTCCCTATTATTACCAAATCAGATCAGCTATTAATCTGCAACTTAAAGTCTTAGAGTTTCACCTCTGCCTGTTGGAATTCCTAGTTTCCTTCAAGATTCGAGTCAGACACCATCTATTACCTGAGTCATTTCTTGGCCCTCCTGGCTTCAAGTGCCTTCCCCTCTAGAATTACCTTGTTATCTACTTTATATATGTTTTTGTAAGTTTCAGAGAAGGCGCCAATCTTCATTAGTGAGTTCCCTATATCAGTGAAATTGCAGGTCCAGTCCTTAAACATATATACATATACACACACGCATATATTTATAAATATACATATATGTATATATTTTTATATGTACATATATGTGTCTGTGTCTGTGTGTGCATATACATAAATGTGTATATGCACTCACGTGTTTTCTCCCTTATGAGAATGTAAGCTAAGGCAAAGACTTTTTATATCCCCATCCTAACAAAGTGCCTGGCAAATAAAAAGAAGGCACTTAATACGTACTTAATGATTTATTGGTCAAAGAGTTGCAGGGGTACTGAGAGTCAGAGGCAATATTTGAACCCAAGTCCTCCAGACTCAGAGGTCAGCTTCTTACCCACTGCATAATGCTTTCTTTCCTACTTAATTCCTCAAACACTAATATTTGTATTTTGGAGCTAGCAGGCAAGTCCTGAAACTTACAAGTTCTGATATCTCATGGTGCCTGTCAGACCCTGGCTGGATTTTATCCTTTGTGGCGTCAGTACTAGAACCTTGGAGCTCAGGAACCTGCAGCTTCATCCATCAAATGCCCCAGTTCAAACCTGAGGCCATTCTAAAGGTAAGAAGAATAAAACTTTACCCTAACTGACCCACTACCACACTAGAATAGCTACAACCATGTAGTTCAGTGAACTAACACTACCCTTGGAACCATAGATAGTTGTTCTATCATTTTTCAGTTGTGTCTGACTCTACATGACCCCTTTTGGGGTTTTATTGGCAAAGATACTGGAGTGGTTTGCCCTTTCTTCTCCAGCTCATTTTACAGGAGAGGAAAATGAGGCAAACAGGGTAAAGTGACTTGCCCAGGGTCACACAGCTAGTAAGTGTCTGAGGCCAGATTTGAACTCATGAAGATGAGTCTTTCTGACTCCAAATCGATTATTCTATCCACCATGCCACCTAGCTGTGCTGGGAGCCAGACGGCACAGGTTCAAATCACAGTTCTGCCACTGGGCCTCACTTCCTCATCTAGAAAATGAAGACAGTAGACTAGATGGCCTCTAAGGTCCTTTCTAGCTTTTCATCTACTCCCTGTCATCTTACGATTAGCATACAGGGACTTGAATTTGAATCTTTGTTGCCCTTATGACATTAAGCAAGTCATTTCACTTGTGTATAATTCAGTAACCAGGATGAATGAGTGTTCAGAGGAGACTAGCACCTCTGGTGCAGGGCCTTTTTCAAGGATACTTTCCACCTTTGGTGGTCCTCTGATTTACTCAATTCCCACATGTGACTCTAAGAAGCTGTAGCATGTGCAGCAGCCACACCCCACTAAACCATTTCAGCAGATGGGCTAAACTAGGTTGAGGGTAATCAAGGAGTCTCAAACCCATCAGTGAATTAGGAGGGTGTCTATCCCAAGTATGTGAAGACTTTCCCTGGAAGAATGGTAGATGAGAACAATTTGTTCCTATGACTGAAGGAGGCACTGTGGCCATACTTAAGTTTGGTCGACATGGAAGACCCCAGCTCACCCACTACATCCCAAGCTGTCACCAGTCATCTTGACTACTGTCTTGCCATTGGACTCCAATGACTCTGGGAGAGAGTGAGGCCAATGACTTCACATAACTGCTTCACCTAAATACAATTTATGCATGAGTCAAAAGACATCAGCCATACTATTTTACCATTTTTACCTACCTCAAAGTCCTGTGGCAACAGGCAAATGATGAAACAGTGGTACAAATACGCTGGGAGCTGTATTCACAAACCTGCACACAGGCAGCTTAGGCCATAGGGTCATCTTCTCACTGGACTGAAACAGCAGTGGAATTCAGCAGCCTCTTGGGTGTCTAAGCAGCCTTTTTTAAGGCCCACACTGCTTGTTTCCTGGCATAAGGAAGGGGCTAGAAAAGGTACCCTAAAAACTGTCTGTTTCACTTAACACTAGCCTGCTTACCACAGCAAGCAGGGATCCCAACCTGCAGTTAAAACACAAAAATATGTACAAAAACTCTTGTAAAAATGATTCCACCCACCATCAGTACATGGAATGTGCATACACTTATAGACAACATACAATATAGCAGACCTGAAAGACAAACAGTTCTTGTGAAAATTTAGCAGGTATTGCATCCAAATAGCAGCCCTGAGTGAAACAAAGTTGGTAAATGAAGGTCAGCTTACTAAAGCTGGAGATGAATTCGTCTTCTCTTGGAGTGACTGCAGTGATGGGGAGCACCGTAAAGCTGGTATAGATTTTGCAACCAAAACTATTCAGCAAATTTGTGTGTCTCCTAAAAGGAGTGAATTAGCAGGCTCATGACAATGTGATTACCATGTGCAAGAAAGTGCCATGCCAACATCATCAGTGTATATATGCTCCCACCATGGTGAGCCCAGATGAGGTCAAAGAAAAAGTTTATGTGTGACCCTGGGCAAGTCACTTAACCCCATTGCCTAGCCAAATAATAATAATAATAATAAATAAAAATAAAAACCTCTAGTTTCTTCAACTGATTCTCATATGACCTAGACTCAAGGCCCTTTATCACTTTGTTCCTCTGGACACACTCCAGCTATGGTTCGATGTATGGATGATGTGGTGGTGGCTGGTGGAAAACCTCTGTTTTTTGGTGATAATTGTTAAGCCAAAATTGGTATAAGCAGCAGAGGATTGATCCATACTTTGCTGCATCTCAGCCTCAGAGACTTCATTGTTTCCCCTTCACAGCAACAACAGCAATGGGTTTTTTCTGCTTTCATTTTCTAGAAGCCTATCTTATGCTGTACTCTAGAGTCAGGATCCTTAATTTTTTTTTTTTGGCATCATAGTCCCCTTGAGAAGTCTGATATGGACCCCTTCTCAGAAAAATGTTTTTAAATGCATAAGACAAAATACAAAGAGTTACAAAGGAAATCAATTATATTGAAATATAGGTATCAAAATATATATGCAGGGCACATATACATTGTTATATAATATTTATAAAAAAACAGAAATTATATTGTATTATAGTGTGTAATATCGTCACAATAGTATATAATATAATGTAATATGTAAAAAGCAATATAGTATAATACAATATAATAGGATATATGATTTGATAATTATTTATTAATATAACATTTTAGTAATGTAATACATTGTAATATTATGTGAATATATAATATATGTGATAAATATATTCTATGTAATTTTTAAAGTGTGTTTTTATGTGTGTGTGTGTGTGTGTGTATGTGTGTATGTGTGTATGTGTTTACAGATGCCCAATTTAAGAACTCTTGCATAAAAGAATCAATAATAACTCCTCTAACTGGTTGGCCAGTTTTCAAGATCTTCCTGAATTAGACACTAGCCTTCTTTTCAAACTTTAGTCAGTAAAACCAGAATACTCACCATTCTTCAGATATTCCTTGTGCTTTTCCTCCTCAGGGTCTTTGCTTATGCCAAGGGCCTGTAAAATTCCTACCCATCCTTCAAAGTCCAGGTTTAATGCTGTTGCCTCTATAAAGCCTTCCTACCATAAGAAATCTCTCCCTCCTATGAACTCCCATAAGCATTTTGTTGGCACCTTTCCGACAGTGTTCTTCATATTCTATCTGGTAATTTCTCTTTGTAAACACTAGCTCCTGGCACACTGTAAATGTTACTCTGTAAATGAGTTGCACTAAAATGTAAGCTTCATGAGAGTGAGGACTGTTTGTTTTAGTTTTATATTCCTAGTATCTTGATACTTAGTAGGTTCTTTTTTTTTTTTACATAGCTTTTTTGGATATCTAATGTCCTTTGTTTTTTATATCAACAGTTTCCCCTAATATCCCTTCCTCTTCTCCTCTGATGGGATCATTTCATATAACAAATAACTTTTTTAAAGATAAAAAAGTATAATTGATCAATACATCAAAAAAGTCTGAAAATTTGTTCAATGTGCAACACTTTTGGACCTCCCATCTTTAAAAAAAAAAGGGTCGGGTGAAAGTGTCTTCTCCTATCTCTCCTTTTGAGCCATGCTTATTCTTCATAATTTTGCAACATTGGCTTTTGATTTCTCTGTGTGGTTTTTTTCATTTACATTATCATAGTCATTATGTGTATTGTTTTATTGGCTACTTACTTTTCTCTGCATCAGTTCATGTAGATCTTCCCATGCTTATCTGTATTCATCATTTCTTAGAATATTGTACTATTCTTTTACACTCATGTATCACAATTTGTTTAGCCATTAGCCAATCAATGAGCATCTACTTTGTCATTCTTTGCTATCACAAAAAAAAAATGTTGCTACATGTATACTAGTATATACAGGAACTTTTTTCTTATCAATTGCCTTCTTGGTGTGTGCCTGAGTTAAAGACTATGGACATCTTAGTTATTTTATTTGCTTAATTTCAAATTGGTTTCTAAAATGACTGTATGATTTACAGTCCCACCAACAATACACCAATATGCCTATGTTCCCATTATCCCTCCAACATTGACTATTCTCATATTTTATCATCTTTGCCAATTTGCAGGGTGTGTGGTGAAACCTGAGAGTTAATTTTAATTTTCCTTATTAGTGATTAACTTTTTAAAGTTATTAATAAGTATTTAAGTTAAGATGAATGAATGAATTGATTGATTAATGATGTAATATGAAATGATATAATGAAATGATAATAATAATGATAATGAATAGTAAAGAATGAAATAATAAATCTCATGGGAAAGAAATTGGGATTCTGGTAATTGAACAGTGTTCCTGCCTTTGGGGGAAAAAAAGTAATTTTCTTTTTTCATTTGCCAGACTCTCTCCAGATACCCCATCACTTACATGACAGCTGCACCATCCGTATATCGAATGCTTCTACAATTGGATGTTTCCAGGTATAATTGGAGGACCCTGTAGCCCCACTTGTCCAGTTGGTTCATCTTTTTTTCCTTGGCACTTGGACTAGTTTTAATTCTAGAGCAACATCTAAAAAAGGGCAAGTTACCTGCTGTCTCATGTGAATATTCAGTAAACTTAACATTCTTTATTCAACAGCTGTTTAAAAAATCATAACTAAAGTGACAACATAGTAAAATATGCATCTGATTATCTCTCTTTACAAAAGCATTCTGAAGTGTTATCTAATTTCAATCAACCTTGGTTATGATTTGATCCTTATAACTTCTTTTAAAGATCATACTTCCTCTTTGCTATGCAAATATTGCAGTGGTCTTTACCATTTTAAAGCAACAAAATTCTGGCCTTTCCTAAAATAGTGGTTCTCTGTGGTTATGGATGGTAGGAACATAATTAGTCAAAATCCATGGAAATACTGTACCCACCCAACCTCAGAATAACCAATAACTCCTTCTCCAATAATTCTTTGTTCAGAGCAGCTCACAAGAAGCATAATAAGCATCTCCAATCTCCTTATTTTCATAGGTGAGGGTTAGAGATGGTAAATAGCTTATCAAACTCTACAGCAGACCTCTGATTTCTCATCCTTGTGCTTTTGCCCCAAATACCAAAAAGTTGGACCTTTCCCTTTTGCTCCCTGGCCCTGGACCTTATTCAAACAACCAGTGAGAAGTGAAGTGCCCAGATGATAAGCAAATCACGTAGTGTAGTGAAAAGAATATTGGAATCAGACAACCTATATTTGAATCCCAGCTCTGCTACCCATATCACAACCTGTCTGGGCTTCACTTATTCATTTATAAAATGAGAAATTTGTACTGAATGATCTCTGAAGTTTTTTCCAAGATCCCTGACCAACAGATCAGAAGGATGGGAGAAAAAAAATGTTGATAAGTAGCCTGTTTACTGGCCCTTAGAAATCAAAATTCAACCATTAAACAAACTAAGTTCAACTAACAAAGGCAAACTCTGAATGGTGGCAATGGCCAATTTTGACCCCAGAAAACCTTCCTCTTATTGCAAAGAGAGATGGGGGACTGTGAATATCAAATGTTGCACTCATTGTAAAATACAGTTGCTCTGTCACTTACTCTGGCTTAACAGTTTTTCTTTGCAAAAGAAAAAGAGAGGTAAGGGAGGGAGGGAATGAAGAAAGAAAAAGAGAGAGGAAAAGAGAGAAAGAAAGAGAGAGAAGGGAGAGAAAGAAGGTGAGAGAAACAGATATAAAGACAGAGAGGGACCGAGATAGAAAGAGAGAGACAGAGAGACAGACAGACAGAGAGAAGATGGAGGAGAAAGACAGAGAAATGAAAGTTTATTTGTAGGGCTATTTCCAAATTCTTCAAAATGAGATTTCAGAAGTATATGTATTATGCTCATCTTATTTTATGTTTATTTTTCTCCTCTGTCTAAGTTACAAGTTCCCAACCTTGAAGCATGCCGCCACTGGTGGTGATGCACTGTTGCCTGAAGATTTTGAGAAGTGGAAAAAAGCAACAGGCTTGGCTATCCATGAAATATATGGACAGTCAGAAACGGTAGGTGGGAAAATCTCTCCTCAGGTCAATGAAGGAATCACCAGCACTATCAGTATATGCATTCATCCTTCTGTCTATCCATCCATCCATTTAATCATTCATCTTATCATCCTTCTATTTTTATATTCATTTAAGATATGTATTGAGTGTCTAAGATAACATCCCTGAGCATGGGAAGCTTACAACCCAGATTTTGTAATTCTGGAAAGCTGAGATATGGGTCAAATTCCATATGTACTTTTAAAGAACTTAAACTTTTCAAGTTTTTACATCTGTTAGCTCACTTGCATCTCAACAACCAGTAGACGTAACAGTGGTTAGTAATAATTTTGAAGTTCAACACACAAAGGATGCTCAGTAAATACTTGTTGAATAAATGAATGAGTGAAATATTGAGAGATCCAAAATCTTGCACAATTTCACACGAATACTAAGTAACAGAATTAGATGGAAACCAAGTCTTCAAGTCCAGATCTTTCTAATATACCACCACTCTGATGATTAAAACTATGTAGGCCTGACCTGCGCTTTGTGTCATTATTATTGCTATGCTAAAAAAAATAACTAGGATATTAGAAACAAGCATGAATTAAGCTCCTAACATGTGTTCAGCATTCTACGCTCTCCCACTTAGTAATCTCATCAGTTCCTATTGGTTCATTTACTATTCCTATGCAGATGACTCTCATAACCATATATGTGACATGCGTCTCTCCTGAGCATCAATCTTTCATCACTAACTCCATTCTCCATTCTAAGGCAAACCTCTTTACATGTGAAAGGAATCTCATTCCATCTCATCTCCAATAGATTTCCCTCTCTATTATCTCCACTCTCTCTCACTTATTTTCAATCTCTCACTGTCTACTTGATGTATCCCTAATGCCCACAAATATGCCCATGTCTCCTCCACCCTCAAAACCCCTCACCTGATCTGTCCATCCCCATTAGCTACCATCACGCATCCCTCTTCCCTTTCATGGCTAAACTCACTGAGAAGGCCATCTATATTCAGTGCCTCCATTTCCTTTCCTCTAATTCTCTTCTTACCTTCTGCAGTCTGTTTTTCAACTGCATCATTCATCTGAAACTGCTCTATTCAATATCAAATCGAATGGCCTTTTCTCAATCCTCATCCTTTACTTTTCTGCAGCCTTTGACACACTGTTAGTCACCCTCTTCTTGATATGCTCTTCTCTCTAGGTTTCCATGACACTGCTCTCTCCTAGTTTTACCTGTCTGATTTTTCCTTCTCAGTCTCCTTTGCTGGATCTTCATCCATGTCACATATGTTAACCCTGAGTGTTTCCTATGTCTCTGTCCTGGGTCCTCTTTTCCTTCTACATTATTCCACTTGATGATTTCATCCTCTCTCATGGATTCAATTATTATCTCTTTGCAGATTATTCTCAGATCTATTTGCCTAGTCTTATTCTTTCTCCTGACCTCCTCTCATCTCCAACTGCATATTGAACATTTCTAACTGGATGTCTCATGAACATCTTAAATTCAACATGTCCAAAATGAAATGTATTATCTTTCCCCTAAAACCCTCCCTTCTTCCTAAATTCACTAAGTCTGTTAAGGGCACCATCTGTACGTGGTTACGCAGGCTCACAACCTAAGTGTCATCCTTAATTGCTCGCGCTCTCTCTCTCTCTCTCTCTCTCTCTCTCTCTCTCTCTCTCTCTCTCTCTCTCTCTCTCTCTCTTTTTCTTTCTCCCCCCATATCCAGTGTATATGGGACATACAGTTTGAGATGCTCAGTGTAAGTCCTTGAATGCAGGAATTATTGCATTTTTATCTCCAGCCTGGCACAGGGCCTGACACAGTGATGTGCAATAAATGTTTAATCTCCATGATATGATCTGATTGAAGAATACTAAGAAATTCACTATCCCACCCTCCCCCCAAAAAAAATGTTCTTCATCAAAGTGTAATGATATGTTTTATAGGATTTCAAGCAGCTAGGCAACACAACAGTGTGTTGCATTTTGAACCAGGAAATCTTTAGACACCCTGGGCAAATTGTTTAACTTCTCTCAGTCTCAGTTTCCTTAGCTTCAAAGTGAGGATAATAGCACCTACCTCCAAAGGTTGTTACAATGATTAAATGAGAGAACAATATGTAAAGTGCTTTGCAACTCTTAAAGCACTGTCTCAATGCTAGTTATTAGAAGCCAGAGGGAATCTTAGAGAAAAATTATTACATACCTTAACCCCAGATTTATAGATTACAAAGCAGAGGAAGATTCTAACATTAGAGATTAATCCTTTTGGGTTTGGTTGGTCTCAAAAGAGAATGCAAATACATCTGGGAAGAGTTCTATTATTAATACCTAAGAGTTAGTTAGCTTATCTGATCCCTCCTAAGAAGAACCAACAACTAGCTAAAAGCCAAGACTTATAGAAAGGGAGGGCAGCTAGATGATGCAATGGATAGAGCACTGGGCCTGGAGTCAGAAAGTCTCATCTTCTTGAGTTCAAATGTGGGCTCAGATCTAGCTGTGTGAGCCTAGGCAAATCATCTAACCTTCTTTGCATCCATTTCCTCATCTGTAAAATAAGCTGTAGAAGGAAATGGCAAACCATTCCAGTATCTTTGCCGAGAAAATCCCAAATGGGGCTGTGAAGTCAGACACAACTGAAAAAAACAGCTGACCAAGTTAGGAGCCTGGGGGAAAAGGAGGAGAAGCATTTCATAAAGAAAAAACTTGAAGGGCACCAAAAATAAAAATGGCGTATGAGAGATATTGATATATTTTGGAATGACATATGTCATAGAATTTAGTGCTGGAAAGGATCTTTTAAAAATATCTTTCCTGAATTGGAAACTAAATAATCTAATTCTAAAATATGATTGGGTCAAACAACAAATCATAGAAACAATCAATAATGTCATTCAAGAGAATGACAATAATGAGACAACATACCAAAACTTACGGGATGCAGCGAAAGCAGTTCTTAGGGGAAGTTTTATATCTCTAAATGCTTACATAAATAAAATAGAAACAGAGGAGATCAATGAATTGGGCATACAACTAAAAAAACTAGAAAAAGAACAAATTAAAAATCCTCAACTAAACACCAACTTAGAAATATTGAAAACCAAAGGAAAAATTAAGAAAATTGAAATTAAGAAAACTATTGAAGTAATAAATAAAAATAAGAGCTGGTTTTATGGAAAAAAAACCCCAATAAAATAGATAAAACTTTGGTTAATTTAATTAAAAAAAAGAAAGAAGAAAATCAAATTACTGGTATCAAGAATGAAAAGGGTGAAGCTATCACCAAGAAAGAGGAAATTAAAACAATAATTAGGAATTATTTTGCCCAACTATATTCCAACAAATTTGGCAATCTTAGTGAAATGATTACATATTTATAAAAACATAAATTGCCCAGATTAACAAGAGAGGAAGTAAATACTTAAATAACCCCATCTCAGAAAAAGAAATTGAACAAGCCATTGATGAACTCCCTAGGAAACAATCTCCAGGGCCAGATGGATTTACATGTGAATTCTATCAAACATTTAAAGAACAATTAATTCCAATACTATACAGACTATTTGGGAAAATAGGTAAGAAGGAGTCTTACCAAATTCTTTTTATGATACAAATATGGTGCTGATACCTAAACCAGGAAGAGTCAACAGAGAAAGAAAATTATAGACCAATTTCTCTAATGAATATAGATGCAAAAATTTTAAACAAAATTTTAGCAAATACATCACAGCAACTTATCACGGGAATAGTACACTATGACCAGGTAGGATTTATACCAGGAATGCAGGGCTGGTTCAATATTAGGAAAACTATCAGCATAATTGAGCATATCAACACCAAAACCAACAGAAACCACATGATCATCTCAATAGATGCAGAAAAAGCTTTTGACAAAACACAACACCCATTCCTATTAAAAACACTAGAAAGCATAGGTATATATGGAGTATTCCTTAAAATAATAAATAGCAACTATCTAAAACCTTCAGCAAGCATAATATGTAATGGGGCAAACTAGAAGCATTTCCAATAAGATTGGGGGTGAAACAAGGATGTCCATTATCACCACTGTTATTCAATATTGTACTGGAAACCTTAGCTTTAGCAATAAGAGAAGAAAAAGAAATTGAAGGTATTAGAATAGGCAAAGAAGAAACAAAGCTATCACTCTTTGCAGATGACATGATATACTTAGAGAATCCTAGAGAATCGAGTAAAAAACTACTTGAAATAATAAACAACTTTAACAAAGTTGCAGGCTATAAAACAAACCCACATAAATCATTGGCATTTCTATATATTACCAACAAAGCCCAACAGCAAAAGATAGAAAGAGAAATCCCATTCAAACTTACTGTAGACATTATAAAATATTTAGGAGTCTGCTTACTGAAACAAACCCGGGAACTCTATGAACAGAATTACAAAACACTTTTCACACGAATAAAGTCAGATCTAAATAACTGGAAAAACATCAGTTGCTCCCAGGTAGGCCGAGCAAATATAATAAAAATGACAATTCTACCTAAGCTAATCTACTTATTCAGTGCCAATCAAACTACCAAGAAATTATTTTATAGAGTTAGAAAAAATAATAACAAGATTCATTTGGAAGAACAAAAGGTCCAGAATATCAAAGGAACTAATGAAAAGAAATGCAGGGGAAGGTGGCCTAGCAATTCCAGATCTTAAATTGTATTATAAAGCAGCAATCATCAAAACTGCTTGGTACTGGCTAAGAAATAGAGTGGTGGATCAGTGGAATAGGTTAAATATGCAAGACACAGTAGTCAATGACTATAGTAATCTATTATTTGATAAACCCAAAGACCCCAGCTTTGGGATAAGAACCCACTCTTTGAAAAAAAACTGCTGGGAAAACTGGAAAAGAGTATGGCAGAAACTAGGCATAGACCCAAATCTCACACCATATACCAAAATAAAGTCAAAATGGGTTCATGATTTAGATATAAAGGCTGATACCATAAGCAAACTGGGAGAACAAGGAATAGTTTACCTATCAGATCTATGGAGAACAGAAGAATTCATGACCAAACAGGAGATAGAGAACATTATGAAAAGCAAAATGGATAATTTTGATTACATTAAATTGAAAAGTTTTTGCACAAACAAAGCCAATGCAACTAAGATTAGAAGGAAGGTAGAAAATTGGGAAAGAATTTTTACAACCAGTCTCTCTGATAAAGGCCTCATTTCTAAAATATATAGAGAATTAAGTCAAATTTATAAGAATATAAGACATTCCCCAAATGATAAATGGTCAAAGGATATGAACAGAAAGTTCTCAGATGAAGAAACTAAAGCCATCTATAGTCATATGAAAAAATGCTCTAAATCATTGTTGATTAGAGAAATGCAAATCAAAACAACTCTGAGGTACCACATCACACCTATCAGATTGGCCAACATGACAAAACAGGAAAATGATAAATGTTGGAGAAGATGTGGGAAAATTGGAACACTAATGCATTGTTGGTGGAGTTGTGAAATGATCCAACCATTTTGGAGAACAATTTGGAACTATGCCTAAAGGGCTATAAAAATGTGCATACCCTTTGACCAGCAATAGCACTTCTAGGGCTATATCCCAAAGAGATCAAACAAATGGGAAAAGGACCCACATGTACAAAAATATTCATAGCAGCTCTTTTTGTGGTGGCAAGAATTGGAAATTGAGAGGATGCCCATCAATTGGGGAATGGCTGAGCAAGTTGTGGTATATGAATGTAATGGAATACTATTGTGCTATAAGAAATGATGAACAGGCTGACTTCAGAAAAACCTGGAAAGACTTGCATCGACTGATACTGAGTGAAATGAGCAGAACCAAGAGAACTTTGTACACAATAACAGCCATGTTGTGCTATGACTCATATTAACAAACTTAACCCTTCCCAGCAATACAAGGATCTAAGACATCTCCAGAGACCTCGTGATGGAAAATGCTATCCACATCCAAAGAAAGAGCTATGAAAGTTGAATTGCTATTTTTTTCTCTTCTGTTGAGTTTTGTTTCCTCTTTCTGATAGTTCCTCCTATTAGTTTTAATTTTTACTTACAACTTCACTAATGTGAAAATATGTTTAATAGGAATGTAAATGTATACAGCCTATATCAGATTGTGTGCTGTCTTGGGGAGGGGGGTGGGGAGGAAGGGGGAGAAAAATTTTAAACTCAAAAGCATATGGAAGTGATTATTGATAAATCAAAATAAATTAATAAATTTTTTTTAAAAAAAGAACCTAGCCAAGGGCTCAGATTTTTACAATAGCTCACAAGTGTTCAGATTCCTTAAGAGTTGGATCTTTAATAAACCTTGTCTTTGGCTGAAAAAAAAATATATCTTTTCTGGCACACTGATTTTGTAATTGAGGGAACTAATTATTTAGCAGATAGTAGATCTTCTGCAGATCCATCTGGACTCTTTCCATTAAATGCATTTATTTTGTTTGTTTACGGTCAACAGGGACTAACTTGTGCAGTGCCCAGGGGAATAAAGATCAAGAAAGGCTCCATGGGGATAGCTATTCCACCCTTTGACATGCAGGTTTGTCTCTCCATTTCACTCAGTGAACATTTGTAAAGTGCCTACTATGTATAAAGTTCTATTATCAGGCACTGGTAATAAGAACATACATCTATCCTCTAAAGAGTCTACTTTCTTCTACACCCTTCTTCTTATCCTTACCTCAGGAACTTTTTAAAATAACTATACTTCAATACAACTGGTTTCCTTTGTAATCCTATGTACTTTATTTTATACATTTAAAACCATTCTTCTAGGAAGGTTTCATAAGATTGAAGGGAGTTAGAGGAGGGGGGAGCAACTAAGCTTCGAAAGATCAGAAGTGGAAATGAGAAAAGAATACACTTCATGAAAAAAATGAGGAGGAAGGAAGTATGATTCAGAGAAGAGAGTGTTGGATTTTGAATCAGAGGACCTGGGTTCAAATCCCACATCTGCCATCAGCTATTTGGACGGTGTTGGACAAATTTACAGAACCCTCCCATTTTATAGAACATAGCTCCTCTCCCATCCCTGAAACTATTTCTATTAACTTTCTATATAGCGTATATATATATTCTATATATATATATATATATATATATATATATATATATAAAAATATATATATTTCGTATTTATTCATGTGTGGACCATGCCTTCCCCCCACAATAGAATGTGAGTTTCTTGAGAGCGGGAACTGTTTTCATTCTTGTATCCACAGCACCTACTACAATGCTTGAAACATAGTAGGAGCATAATAAATGCTTGTTGAATATCAAATTCTGAATAAAGAGTTTGTGTCCACAAGTGAGTTTATCATCTTCCTCCGAAATGATTTATACCTCCCACACTTCCCATTTCCATCCACAGCTATTCTTCCAATTACCCAGCCTTAGAAACTTGGAGTCATCTTGGAGTTATCCTCCCCTAAATCCCATCAGTCACCAAGTTATGTCAGTTCTTCTTTAGTAATCTTTCAATCCTATCTCTGCCACTAGCTCTGTGACCCTTAAGCAAACCACCTGAATGAATGAAAGTAAAAGCATTTATTTATTTATTAGGCAGTCATCTAAGGTTTGGGAAAGCAAATACAAAAACAAGCCAATCCTTATTCGTCAAGAATATTCAGAGGCAGCAAGGTGGTGCAGTAGATAGATCACTGGCCCTGAAGTCAGGCGGAACTGAGTTTAAATGCAGCCTCTAACCAAATACTTAACACCTACTAGCAATGTGACCCTGAGCAAGTCACTTAACCCCAATTGCCTAAAAAAAAAAGTTCAATTCACATTCAAATTGGGGCAAACAACACATATAGAGGAGTGGTGGCCAAGGAAAAGAGTTTTGATCTGCGAAATCATAGGAAATGGGAAATCTGGCAAGCGGAAATCAGTGATTAACACACCTTTCCCAGAAACAATAGTAGTGTTGCTTTTATTTCAATTTTCAGACCAAGAGAAAAAGGGAAGAATGGGGTATGTGTGGGGGCATAAGAGGGCCACGTTGAAGAAATATGGTCTGAGGGTGTGACAAGCTGAGTGGGTTGGCTCCTCCAGGACATGTTCTTTGGAGGTCCAGTTTGGAAAGTAGATCAGCAGCAGGTGCAAAGCAAGACGTGGCAATATGTAAAGAGTGGTCCTAAGGAATTCAGAGCTGAATTCTGACTTAACTTCATGTTTCTCAGTCCCTAGGACTTCTGTCTCATATGGATCATTGGTGGAATTTTGACACTGGGAGTTCCAGACTCTAACAAACTTACAGATTCTTCACAAAATGTCCCCAGTAACCACCAGTACAGAATAAATTCACCAATTCACATCTGAACTATTATTAATAGACTCCCTCCCCCTCCAGTCTCTTATCTGTCCTACCTATCATTTAGATAGATTACTCCCTTGCTCAAGAAGCTATAACATACCGTACCAGACCAGATTCTAGCTGAACCTATCCTACCCTGCATTTTCAATCGTATCTCTGATATTCTCCAACATGACCACTCTTTCTCCTTCTCTGGTCAGGAAGGGCTCCCCAAAGCGAATGCTTTGAATTGGTTATTTCTATTTCTATTCTTTTTCTGTGCTATTTATCCCAACATAGAATCCCTTTCCCACCTTCCATTTACTGATTTAAATCTTAACCCATCTTTCAAGATCCAGATCCAGTCTTATTTCCTCCAGATTATTTTGAATTCATTGATCTCTCATTTCTCTGATTTTCATAAATTTTGGCAAGTGATTATAACATTACTGCTATAAAAGAAAAATACTTTTATTGTATTTTCCTTGTGTTGTACTTCTGTTTTGTCTTCCTGGAAAATTACAAGATTCCTGGAAGTAAAATCCATGTCTTATCTTCCTTATCAATATTCCCACAGTGTCTAGGTATATGGTGGTAGAAGATCAATAAATACTTTCCGGGTTGAACTGAACTGAAAAAGATGACTGAAACCCTCTTTAGTTACTGGACAATGCAGGCTTATTTGCAGTGAGATATGAAATAGAAAAAATAAATACTTGTTTAGAGGGAGGACATGTAAAGAAATCTCACTTCAGAGTCAGAGAACCTGGATTCAAGTTCTTTCTCTGATACTTACCTCTTGTATGACTTTCAGAAAGTCACTTTTCCTCTCTAGGTCTCAGTTTCCTCATCTGTAAAATTATAGAGGAAGCTGGGAGATTGAGACCCCTAATGTTCCTTTTGGCTCTAAATCCTATGATTTCTTGACATCTTTGAAACCAGCAATGGGAAAGTATAGTTAACCTATCTGTGAATCTAGTCGACCTAATTTTGGGATAAATTATAGAAGTCTTGCAAGGAAAGAATCATAGGATCATAGATTTAACTCTGAAAAGGAACTTAGAGGCCATCCGGTTTAGCCCCTACATTTTACAAATGAAGAAACTGAGACCCAAAGAGTTAAACAGCCAGTGAATGTCCTCAGGTGAAATGTAAACCTAAAACTTCCTTATTCCATGTCCAATGCCCTAAGCACTATGTTATGAAATCAACTCAAAGTATATGTATATGATACTCACTATTCTAATTAAAACTAAGGAAATGGGCTTTAAAAGGTCTGAATGGGAAAATTTCCAAACACATTTTCTGATCCTGTCAGTTACTTACCTGTCCAAATTTTAATTTGGGGAGTAGGGAGGGAAATCAAGACATCAATTGTAGTGGCAGAGTCCTATCAGTTCCTGTAATCATCACAATAGACATATGGAGGAGATTTTGCAGAAGTTATTATCCCCATTTTGAAGATGAGAAAACTAAGACTCAGACAAGGAAGTGTAGTTGACAAATGACAAAGCCAGGAATTGAAACCTAATCTTCTAATGCCAAGCCCAGTGTTATTTCCATAGGCATATGCACAGAGGAAATCAACCCCAGTATAGCAAAGATGTAAAGAGCAGGGTGCAAAAAGGTAGCACCATTCCAAGATGGCCCTCCCTCCAGCATTTAAAAACCTCTCCTGGTTTTTAAATGATTACCCTATCTGAGCAACCAATATAACAAGACAGGGCCTGTAGTTCAGAGACAGCTACTCAGACACAGATTTGGCTCACACTGGCACTAATGCAATCTTCTTGCATATCTCTGTTAATAGTTTCTGGTTTGAATTTAACTTTGTCAGATATTATCAGCAACACTCCTCTTTGTACTTGAGTTAACTGCAGTATGATAAATCTTGGTACAACCTTTTAATTTTAACCCTCTAAGTCTTTCTGCATTGAATGTTTCCTATAAACAGAATATTGTTGAATTCTAGATGGTCTAGATTTTGGATGAGGAGGTGGGAGTCACTTCAGGGGTTGGCTTTGTGAGAAGGAAGTATATCAAAGATGACTTTGAAGTATCTGTTTTTTTCTCTGAACTCTCCAAAGTGTTTTTTAAATTTTAATTCAATTTTACTTTATTTTCAGTTCCAAATTCTCTCCTTCCCTCCACCCCTCTCCCACCCATCAAAAAGTTAAAGTTATTTTGCTTACTAAATAATCATGTCTTGCCACTTTTCTATTCTTCCAGATCATAGATGAGAAAGGCAATACCCTTCCCCCAGGGATAGAAGGGGAAATGGCCATCAGGATCAAACCTACAAGACCCATCTGCCTATTCTCTGGCTACGTGGTAAGCCCATTCCCCTCCAGTGGGAGAACTGCCGACAGGTACTTTAAAGGCTGTCAAATGGAAGAAGAATTAGATCTTATAATTAGTTCTGCCCAAAAGTAGAATAGGCTTCCTCAAGAGGTAGTGAGTAACCCTTAACTGGACATTTCCAAGCAGAAGTGGTTCACTCACTTGTGGGGGATATTTTAGGGAGACTGTTACTCAGGTATAGATTTAGTGTCATGACATCTACAATAGATAAATCTGCCTTCTGCTTTCATCTAAAGGTGTCTTTAGTAAAAATACTGAGCAGAATAGAGCTAAGGACAGAGATATGGAAAACTCCCTGGAGGCCTTTCTCCAGGTTCAAATCAATCCATTTATCACCACTCTCACCCTTTGGGTTCATCCAATCAATCCACCAAGGCCGAATCCACCCAACTATAAGTTTATCCAGTCCACATCTTTCCATTTTGTCTACAAAAAGATAGTGACACACATTGTTAAATGTCTTTGCTAGAAAGTTAGATCTACTGAAAAAAAGGAAATGAAATTAGTCTCACATGAACCCATTCTGGCTCATTCCTTGATCATATTCCAACAATGGAGCTGACTAGGGAAAGTTTCTATGATCTTTTTTTTTTGTATGTTTCTCTTTGAAACACTATGAACTTTTTGTTCATAAACCTCATTGCAAGATTATAAGTGCATACAGACTTCAAACTGACACGTTGTCACTTTGAATAGTACTTTGGAATATAATATAACCTCTTTGCATAGCTTTCTTAATAGTTTCTGATTTGAACTTGACTTTATCTGATACCTTCAGTGATGCTCCTGTTTTACTTAACAGTAGTATAAACCTCAGTACAACCTTTCATTAAACTCTCTAAGTCTTTCTGCATTAAACAAACACATATAAACAACATATTGCTCGATTCTGCTTTTCATCTATTTTGTAACATGAGGCAGCAAGCTAATGCAATGGATAGGGAGCTTGGTCTAGAATCAGTAAGACTTGGGTTCAAATCGAGTCTCAGACACTTACTACCTATGTGACCTTTGGCAAATCATTGAACCTCTATGCCTCAGTTTCCTCAACCTTAAAATGGAGAAAATGGCTGCATCTACCTTAGGAGGATCAAATTAGAAATATTTGTAAAGAACTTAGCACAATGCCTGGAACATAGTAGGTACTGTATATATACTTATTCCTTTCCCTTATAACCCCTTTTTCTACTTATTAGTAGATTTAGTCCATTTGCATTTATCATTGCTAAATTTATCTTTTATTCTACCATTCTTTGATATTTATCATAAAGTAACATAAACTTTCTTATTTCACTACTTTCATTATTAAACAAAAATTGACAAAGTAATGCTAAATAAGATTCTAATATCTTATACGATTAATTAGGTAAATCCCTTGACCTCTGGATTCCCCTTTTATCAAAGAAAAGAACTTAGTTTGGAAATCATCTCATCCCCTCCCCTTCCACCCTCTTTTCCTTTTGTAAATCTGAGCATGTTTATAGGCTGTTGAAAAAGAGCTAATAGAGCAAATAATTAAAGATGAAAGAAAGTGATTGATAGTAGAGGAGACAAATGGAAGGGATAGAATGGAGGACATAAGTAGCAGCCTTGGTCTTGACAAAGAAAAGTACTACCATTCTACTCAGAGATAGAAGTAAAGGAGAAGAGGGCTAGTAAAAAAATAGGGTAAGAAGCAGGATTTGAGAGTCTGAATACAGAAATGTGGGAGCTCATGATGGATGATCTTAATTTTGTTAATAAGGTAGGAGGTGAGGATATATGCTGAGAGTACAGAATCAGAGGTGGGTCTTGGAGGCTTGAGAAGAGTCATTTAAACAACCACTGAAGGGAATGGAATAGAGAGTCAACCAAGAGTCAAAGTTTTGACTTACAGTGGTGATGACCCAGTTGTGTAAGAAGGGACAGGAGATAGTTTAATCATAGAAGGAGATTTCAAAACTCAGCATCATGGTGATTGCACTGCTTTGCTCATTTTCTTTTGAAGTACAGTTTCATTTTCTTACATGAATTTTTAGTGATTTTATTTCTGCCCAGTGAGCCACTTATGAGTTGAATGTGAAGAGTCTCACTCTTTTTTAACCTCCCACACTACAGCTTTCTGCAAGCCTGAAGTAATTCCTTTAATAAGAGGTTTTAGGATTTTACAAGAATGCAAGTCAAACTCAACAGACTTTAAAGAATTTACCTTCTTCTCCTTTTTTGGTAAATCAAATCATTTTCACTTCTCCAATCCTATAGTAAGTCTCATATTCAGGTTTTCAAACCTCAGTATTGGTGACTCACATCTGCCACTTCTTAAGCCTGGAATGCCCTTAATTTGGGCCTGGTGATTTTGTAAGCATTGAGACCTGGCAGGTCAAAGATTTAGAACTACCTCAGAGGCCATCAACTCAAATGCCTCAGTTTTTACAAATAAGGGAAATGAGACCTAAAGAGGTGCAGTGACTCACCCAGGATCACCCCGTTAGTAAGTTGAATTTGAACACAGGTCTTCCTGACAACAAATTCTGTGTCCAATACCATATTGACTTTCTTTAAATGTCTCCACATTTATTTGTGGTTTCAATTTCTTGTTAACCATTTTGATTCTAAATTCCCAGTCTGAAGTTTGGACTCTTCAGTAAACAAATCAGAAACAAAGTGAATCTGCTTTCTCTTTATCATCCTTTATCATTTTCCTATCTACTCTGAGCATAACAGTGTTCCTCTCTTTTATTTGATAACCCTATTCCCTCCAACATAGATTTTTATCATTCCTTTTTACATAAAAGGAATGTATATAAGGTATGTATATAAAATGTATATAACAAATGTATATAAATGTATTTAAAATATGTAACGAAAACCTTAATAAACCCCGTAAGTTCTAAGGATCATTATCCCATCTCCCCTACTTGCAGACAAGTCTGGTACCTGAGCAAGGCAACATTTCCCTCTTAGAAGTCAGGAGGATTCTTCCTTAATACTATTACCCTGAGTCCCCATACCAATATGTTCTACCACTAGTGATTAGTGTCCCAGTATCCTTTAACCAATGAATATCAATTAGCTTTTACAAAGGAATATTTACTGTAAAAATATAGCAAGAATAAAAATTACAAAGCATTTCTCCCTAACACCTGGGGAAATACTCTTCCCTATACCACCTCTGACTCTGGGGAATGTGCACTCAAACTTAAAGTTTTATAGTATTTTCTTTATAGTATTTTTCCCCCAGCAAGTTCCCTTTCTAATTTGATATAAGCAATGGATGAATTACTGTTGATCCCTCTGGGCTGTCTTCCATCTATGTTGACTCAAATAAGTTGCTTGAGACTTTACTCCTCCCTCTCTGGCTTCTGGCAAATTCCACCATGGATTTCATCTCCCCAGCCTCTAGTGCTTGCTTTTCTGGCTTTCCAAAGCTCAAGAGTCATCTCCGATACAAACAGAGACCAAGAAGAGAGGCTTCCGTTCACAGGTCACAGGCAGGCTTCAGGTGGGGAAAGAGGAGGCCCAAAGTCTCTCCCCATCCAGAAGCTTACACGCAGCATGCACCTCCCTCAAATGCACCAAGTCAAGAAAAATGCTTTGGTTAGTTATTGTCTTTGAATACATCCCCAGTTCTGGCTCAGCAGTCAATCAGAATTTTATCCCTTCACCACATGATAGATGACTGGAACCAGTTATAAAATGTATGCATATGTGCCAAATAGGGGAGCAGTGTCCTCTCTTTACATATCATGACTTTCTGGAACAATATCCCCAGCCTCTTCCAAGCAGGCTGGCTACATGGTGCAAGGAGGGACTCCCCCGCCCTTTACCTTCTCATTCTGAGCTAGAGATAGAGATAGAAGTGTCCTCAGAGGCCATCTAACCCAACTCCATTATTTTACAAATAAGGAAGCTGAGGCCCAAGGACATTTTAATGACCTGACCAAGATCTCAGAGGTAGTAAGTACCAGAGACAAGATTTGAACATATGACCTTGGTCACCAGGGACTATGCTTGTTTCCACTCTATCTCACTGCACTGCAAGTCTCACATCCATTTAGGACTTTGGTGATCCTGATATTATTATTGTCATTCGAATCCTTATTTACCTGCCCCTATTTCAGCTATCTATACACATCTTTTTAAATTCTAAAGTGTCAAGGATTTTCCTAAGGATCAAATGAAATCCTCACAACAGCCCTTTCAGATAAGCAAGGCAGGGCTTATTATCCCCATTGTATAGATGAGAAAATTGTCCAAGGTAGCATGGCTATTAAGCATCTAAGGCAAAAATTAAACATAGATTTATGACTCTCCAGGGCCAGACTACCTCTCTAATGACAGGGATTGATACAAAAGTCATTTTAGTGGATGAACCCAGGAAAGTATGATTTTTTTTGGGTTTTTTTTTTTGGTTTGATTTTGCTAGGCAATGGGGTTAAGTGACTTGCCCAAGATCACACAGCTAGTAAGTGTCAAGCATCTGGTTTGAGATGGGATTTGAACTCAGGTCCTCCTGAACTTCAGGGCTGGTGCTCTATCCACTGCGCTACCTAGCTGCCCCAAAAGTATGATCTTTTAAGCCTTAGCTCAAGACTTCCAAATGGAGAACAGGAAGCATGACTTAATCTTTGTACCCTAAGTACTTAGTATTGTGTTTACAAAGTAATAGCCCCCAAAAATAATTGGTATTGATGATGAAACACCAAGGCATTCCAGGCAATGATTAAAAGAAGCCTTAATTTTAATAATCAATCCAGAGTAAGAGTTAAACCATTGTCCTAGAACAATGCTGTCAAACTTGAAAAGAAATGGATCCCTGAAGGTCACATATCAACTTAGAAAATTAAAAATTGATATTATCTATGCTGTATCGTATTTTCATCTATTTTGTCAAACATTTCACAATTCCATTTCAATCTGGCTCAGGCAGCAGAACTCCCTGCTTATGGCCTCCAGGGTTTCCAATTTAGTACCTGTGCATCAAGATTAATACCTTATTCCGTTTTCAATCCTTCACCAAAAGCATTACAGAACTTTGGTGGAGAAAAAGTTGTCCAACCAGTTCCTATTAGGACAGGTACTCCTTTTCCAATGCCAAATTAGTGACAAGAGAAGAGTAATAGTCTGAAAAGTCAGTTGGCTAGAACATGGTGCCAACGAGAACCAGGGTGTAGAGCTGGACGGTATTTCAGAGGCCATCGAGTCCAACCTTCTCATTTTACAAATGAAGAAACTACTTGAGTAACTTTCTCAAGATCGCACAAGTAGTGAGTGTCTAAATCAGGAAAGGAACAAAGTTGATCCCAGTTCTAGTGCCCCATCCACTATGCCCTGCTGTTTCTCAAAAGAGATGGACTCTAGCTCCAAATATCTAAGTAAACTAACCCTAGGAAAATTTTGATCCACAGTCAGACCACATCTCAGATATGTCAGCCTTCCTGAAAGTATATCCTGTTGATCATTCAGATGACTGACTCAGTTCCACCCATCCCCATTACTGAAAAAAAAAAACCCATAGCCTGTGACAAACTACCAGCAAAGTGGTAACATCTTCTTTCTATGCAAAGGACAGATTCCTTTGTGATTTAATTAGTGGAATTAAATTTAATTAAAATTATATTAATTTAATTAATGTAAATTATATTTAAATAAATTTAAATTAAACAATATAAGTTAATTGGCAATTATACAAATATAAAATTAATTTAATTTAAATTAGATGGCAAAAACATATAATAGAATGGGAAGTGTACCTAAGGCACCCAGTCCTTGTATTAAAGGATCTTACAGTTTAATACTATAGGGAGAACAGGACCACTGAGGAGCTATCCACACAAATGAACATTTTAAGCTTTAAAACTACGCTAAGACTCCTGGGATATATTGTATAATGCCCAAGGAGAAACAATGTATACAGAGAGTTGGCCTTGGAGTCAGGAAGGCCTGGATTCAAGTCCTACCTCAGACATCTCCTGCCTGTGCGACCCCAGGTAAATCATTTAACCTTTTAGTGCTCCCCAAACAACTCTTCCAAATTATAGGTTGCAGAGAAATTGACAATCTAAATCACAGAAGGACATTTCCTTGCCAGGAGTTCCCTACCCAAATGAAGTCATGGGTCCAATTTTTTTTTTAATGTCCAAGGTACTTACAGGAGAAAGAAGTGACTCAGGGCATTAGCAGACTGTCTGGAGAAAAGTCTGGGTATCTTTACAATGAATCAATCCTCTCCCAATGTTAAATCACTTTCCAAAAAATGTTCTTTTCAACTCAGGACAATCCAGAGAAGACTTCCTCATCAGAACGTGGTGACTTTTATATCACAGGTGACAGAGGCACTATAGATGAAGACGGCTATATATGGTACCTCGGTCGAGATGATGACATCATTAAAGCTTCAGGGTAGGCTGTTTGCTGGGGGCTTTCATGTTTCACAGTTACAGCCATACCAGTTCCTAAGGGTTTGTGCTAGAGTCAAGGCCATATCTATGTGGTGTGAGACTTGGATTTACTCTTAAATGCTAAGGGGCATGGACCAAAGGCTGTTTCAGGAGAATTGTGGGGATGCAGGGCTCTTTCTAGAGAACTACAAAGCATGGTACATATTATACCATATGGATCCCCCTGCAAAGTTTTTTTTTTTACCACAATAAAACCAGACTAAAATGGACATAACTTGCCCTTTTGAAGAGGAAAAAAAGTCACATAATGAACACATAAGGAAAAGTAGTCCTTCATTAAGAGCTTGCTAATGTGATTTTGTTTGTATAAATTTTATTTGTATAAAGTTATTTGTATAAACTTCTACAAAGGTTTTGGTTTTTTAGCAATACCTGGTCCAAGCCATCCCTTTCCCCTCCTTGCCCCTACTAGATGCCTCCCTGAGACACTGCCCAACCACTGAAGCATGGGACTTCACAAAGTGCAGAGCTCAAGACAATCTATCCCATCAGTCCCTTGTCCAAGGGAGTAGAGAGGTCCAGCACCGTGGAGGAAGTCAGTCATTGTCTTAGGATAGAAGTGCTTCTCAGAAGTCACATAGAGGGGAGATTTAAAGGAAGAGGGGAATCTGAGGCAGCAAGGGAGAGGTTATTACACTAGAGCTGCTGTATGATCCCACTATGGAGGTACACATGATATTGCCCAGAGGGACAATTGTTGGGATGCTGCCTTTTCTGACGTGGTTGTAGGGACAATAGCCTTACAGTCTCTGAAAGCCCATTTCCTCCTTCAGGTACCGGATTGGTCCCTCTGAAGTTGAAAATGCTCTGGCAGAACACCCAGCTGTGGCAGAATCAGCAGTCGTTGGCAGCCAAGACCCACTCCGAGGAGAGGTGAGAAAAGAACCAAGACCTAGCGAGTCCATAGAAGGCTATAATGCATGTCTTCAAAATTATTAACTTGGGAGCAGCTAGGTGGCACAGTGGGTAGATTACTAGCTCTGGATTCAAGAGGACCTGAGTTCAAATCTGGCCTCAGACACATAACACTAGCTGTGTGATCCTGGGCAAGTCACTTAACCCCATTGCTTAAACCCCTCTTCCCAGCAAAAAAAAAAAAAAAAAAAAATATATATATATATATATATACATAGACATACTAACTTGGAGGTCAGGATTTCCAAGCCAAATCAGCCTTGGTAAAGTCCGAGTGATGGGGAAAAAATGGCTGTGAGTACAGTTGCCCCATGTAGCCAGAAGGCAATACTGCATTTTAAATTATTTTTTTCTCCTCTAGTCTAGCACATCTATGGGTACTTATTGAACACTTGCTATGTAAGTAACACTGGGCTAGGAGTTATAGGGGAGACATAATATGTATAAGACATAGTTTCTGCCTTCGCAGAACTTACAACTTAGATAGATTTAACCTACCTATGACTGAGAACAACAAAGTACTAGAAGGAAAAGGAGTTTAGAGAATAATTATATTAATAATGGTTATAATAATTCACATTTATATAACACCTTACGGTTTATTAACGTCTTCTTCAAAACAGGGTCAAGGTCACACAAATGATAATTGGAAATTCATTTAACACTTTCTCAAACCACTCAGCCAGTAAAAGCTAGAGCCAAGAGAGATCATAGAATTTCAAAGCTGGAAAGGATCTCCCAGAGCACTGTGGGCTGAAGCAGTCCAGGAGGGACTCAAGGAGGAGACAGAACTTTTCCTAAACTTCAGGGTAGGCATAATTTAACAATAGCTAACATTTGCAAAGTGCTTTAATATTTGCAAAGCTCTTTTACATGTCATGTGATCCTCAAAACAACCTTGCTTTAGTTTAGACAATGGTGTCTATTTAAAATTTTTATAGTTACAAAGTACATATATTATTCATTTGATTCTCACGACCCTATGAGGTAGGCAGTACAAGCATTATAATTCCCATTTTACAGGTGAGGAAACTGAGGCACAGAGAGATGAAATGAATTGCTCAATATCAAATTACTAGTAACTGGTTGAGCTAGAACTCAAATCAAGATCTCCTAAAATCCAGTCCAATGCTGTTTCCATACCCCGTGTGTTCCAAGAATGAATGAATGAATGAATGAATTAACTTTAATATCTGCCCAAGTGAAATATAATGAAGATAAGTACAATTCATTCTAAAGCTAAGAGGAAATATTTTGCAGGCTTGCCCTCACCACAGCACTCCCATCTGTTAGTGTGGATATCAGATTTGCATCCAGCACATGTTTGTCTCATGCAGGTGCTCAGAAAATCTTAAAGTTGGATGGACTTTAACAGACACCTCCTGCAGCTCCCCATTCTGGTAGAAATATATGTAACACTCTCTATAACACCTCTGACAAATTGTTATCCGTCCTTCCCTCAAAGAAGGGAGGTAGCAAGATTCATATTGAAATCCCAGTTCCTTCTGCCCCTGCTTATTACTTTGTGAGCAAATTACTTCATCTCTCTGGGCCTTGGTGACCTCATATTTAGAAATAAGAAATAAGACTTGATTAAATGATCTGTAATGTCCCTCCTAGCTCTTAAAGTATGATCCTATAAACTGACACAAAGTTCTATTTTTGGTACTGGCCTGTGTCAAGCACGGGGCCTGAGGACCATCACAGCCACAGTGCTCCCAAGTACGGCCCAAACCAAATTAAAATGTAATCAGAAAATATCTCACAACATAAATAAAAATACAATAAAGCATAGATGATGTTAATATGTGGTTTTCTGAGTCAATGTGCAGATGCAGGGATCCTTATGTAGTTTAGTGGCCCTACTTCTATTTGAGTTTGATACCACTGACCTAGGAAACCCTTTCATGGAAATTCTGTTCAAGGATATAAATTGACAACTGTTCTGCAACATAGAGTTTTTGAGAATTACCTTGGTTATAGAGAAATTAAGTGACTTATCCATGGTGCCACAGCTAGGGTGTGGGAGAGGGAAAGTTTGACCCCTGGCCATCCTGACTAACACCATCATTCCACTGTTACAGAATTTTAATTATTCAGAAATTATTTCTTATGTTGAGCCATTTTCTCTGCCTCCCTATACCATCCATCCGTTGGTCTCAGTTTTGCTGTCTGAAGTCACGTGGAATTAGTCCAATCTTTCTTCCACGTGACAGCCCTCTAAATATTTGAAGACAATGGAGATGTCCTTCCAAGTCTTCTCTCCTTCAGGCTATCCATCCCAAATTCCTTCAACTATTTTCTTATGACCTCGTTTGTAGGCCCCACATCATCCCAGTCACCCTCTCCTGAACACATTCCGTTAGAGTAATGCCCTTCCTAAAATGTGGCATCCAGAACTGGACTCAAGGTAAACTCTAGATGTGGTCCCAGGATAATGTGACCATTATCTCCCTTGATCGGCACACTGTGCTTCTATTCATTTGGCCTGAGATTTTATTAATATTTTTGACAACTGAATTATACTGTTGGCTCATTTCCAGCAAATGAATTAGTGATTTGACTGTAGCTAAGAACTAAAAATGGACTATATTAACCAAAGTTGACTCTACAACTCTCAGGGTAACTTAACAGTTGTTAGATCTGTGCCTATAACCATACTTATTGTCTCCACACTTTTAAGAAACACAAAAAGATTTAGAGGCACGATGATGGGTTGTATAATAATCCCTTACCTTTTTTATTTGAGGCAATCGGGGTTAAGTGACTTACCCAGGGTCATATAGCTAATAAATGCCTGGTGTCGGATTATGAACTCAGGTCTATCCTGGCTTCAGGGCTGGAGCTCATTCCACTGAGCTACCCTAATCTGTTACATTTGTATGGCACTGTATAGTTTAAGTTTTCCTAAGAGGCAATGTGGAAGAGTAGATAGAGATCTACCTTTTGTCAGGAAGACTTAGGTTCAAGTCCAACCCCTGATATATCATAGGTGTATAACCCGTGGGCAAGTCTCAGTGCCTCAGGAATTTCTGTAAGATTGTGATTTCAGATGACTTGCCAGTCTGCATTGGTAGAGGGAGTTTCCACATCAGAAGTTTCCTGCAAGGATCAAAACCTCCATTCCACTTTTCCTGGAAAAAAAAATGCTTTCATGTCTGTTATATAATTCAGGTGAGCCTCACAAAAGCCTTGTGAACTAAACAAAGCACAGATTGCCTCCATTTTTCAGGGAACATGGAATCAGAGGACAAGGGTTCAAATTCTGCCTTTGATGTTTGCTACCTGTGGGACCTTGGGAAAGTCACTTGACCTGGGATTAGACTAGATTAGGTCTCTGAGGTTTTTTCTGCTTCTGAACTGTGATCCTGTGACATAGCAGGATTCAATTTAGAAATCACTTGACCCCCATTCCCCTATGATAAAGATGATGCAATTACTATTATTTGTCTTTTACACATAAGTAAACCGAGGTTCAGAAAAATGGCATGTGCTGCTAAGGTCACAAAAATAGTTAGTTAAGACAGGGAACCAGATCTTCTGATTCCTGGTGTCTCTTCATTAGATTCTGAGTTTCTTGAAGGCAGATATTGTCTTTTATGTCTTTGTATATCCTCAGCCATTAACACAGTATCTGGCACATAGTAACAGTTTAATAAGTGTTTATTGACAGACCAACTGACCTCTTTAGCAACTCTATAGTTCTCTGCACACAGATCTTCCTTATTCTGCCCCGTAACTGGGATGCATGTCCTATGTTATACTTTTGCCACCTGTCCACAAGTCACCCCTGACCTGCTCCAATCCTGTAGGTGGTGAAGGCATTTGTGGTGCTGACCCCGGAGTTCAGGTCCCATGACCCTGACAAGCTGGCTCAGGAGCTGCAGCAGCACGTTAAGAAGATTACTGCCCCCTACAAGTACCCCAGGAAGGTAAGGTCAGGATGGGAGTGGGGGGTGGAGGAGGGTATAACCCTTTCTCACCATCCAGTCCGTCTAAAGTCCAACTTAGAGACCCTGTGAGGAAGTTTGGACTCCCACCTGCACTGGCCTTCTGTTTTTGTCAAAATTGTGTGGCCAAGGGAGGGAGCATGGGGGGAGTTCATTTATCAGAGAGAAGTTTTCATTAATATAATTCTCCAGCATATCAGAATCCCATATAGGGCAATTCTACAAAGATACTTAGATGTAGCAAAACTGGGCTTAGAATCTCAGAATGTGACAGTCAAAAAGGACCTGAGAGGGCATTCAATCCAAACCCCTCATTCACACATGGGAAAGCTGAAGACAAGAATGGCTATACGGTTTGTCCAAGATCACACAGCAAGTTCATGGTGGAGCCTGAAGTAGGAACGTAGAACATACAACATACAACACTTAGAGCTATAGCAGACCTTAAAGCTAGCCTGCTCCAACCCCCTCGTTTTTAGTTCAAGAAACTGAGGCTGGAAAAGAGAAGCACCTTCTCCAGAATCCCATAAGTAGTGATAGAGATAGGGTCCTAATCCCTATGTTCTTTCCCATGATGCCACTAGCATCCAGGCCTCCCAATTTTCAGTCCTGTGTTCATCTAGATAATATCAATACAAGGCTCAAGTGTTTTGATCATCATGGCTCTACAATAAAGTACACTCCTGCAATACCAGTATATTATCCCTTCCCTTGTAAGTGTCTATCCAGGAATCCTACTATATTCAGCCTGCCCAGGCAGCCCATTTTTTTTTTTAAATCCCAGTGTCTATCCACCTAAGCCTTACCCAGCATATGCAGCCACTTGCTACCCTACCCCAGCCCAATCCAACATTTTATCATGGTGGATGGTGGTCACCCCTGAAAGTTAGAGTTCTTGCCTTTGAAAGTAAGACTTATCTCCAACCCAGGACCTTGCAACACCCACAAATGTCCAAGTTTAGATAACCAGCTGTCTCAGTACTAGGGAAGGAGGATCAAGCTTAAAGTACCATTGGTCAGCATAACTCAAGTAAGGCGATGTGGCATATTAGAGAGACCACTGGGTTGGAAGTCGTCAGATAACCTGGGTTCTAGTTGCCAACTCTTTTTTTTAACAATTCAATTTTATTCTATTTTCAGCTCCAAATTGCCTCCTTTCCCTTTCTCAAACCTCCCTCATCCATTGAGTAAGCAAGAACAACCAGTTACAAATACATATAGTCAAGTAAAACAAATTATAAATTTATTATGAAATTATGATAAGAAATTATTTCAAAACAGTAATAAATAGATATATAGATAATAAACACATATAATGTTAATATGCGGTTTTCTAAGATATAGTCCACAGGATCTTTATGGTTTATTGACTCCAGTTTCTATTTGAGTTTGACACCAATGATATAAGAAGCTCCCAATGAGGAAACTCTGCCTGGAACAATGATGTCAAATTCGAATAGAAGCGGATCCCTGTGACCTGCATATCGGCTTAGAAAACCACAATTTAACATCATCTATGTTGTACCATATTTTCATTTATTTTGTTAAACATTTTCCAATTGCATTTGAATCTGGTTGGAGTGTGGTCATTTTATAGGCTACTTCTTCTGGGTACAGGTTTTGACACCTTTGATCTGGAGCACTGAGAAATGATAAGTGACTTACCTAGGGTCACATAACTAAAACATGTCAGAAATTGAATATCAATCTCAGTCATCTCTTTCCATTACACCACACTGCCTCATGGCCCAACCATAAAAGATGCTTAATCAATGCTTGTTCAATTCAAGTGGATTAACAAGCCATCATTCAGGGATGCATGAATTTGGACTCCTGGGCTCCATCATTGTACTAGGTCTACATCAAGTGATTAATGCTCTATACTAGGCCAGCTCTGTGGCCGATGACATGGTATTACCCGGCTGGGTTAGAAAGATCCTCTGAGGGGGTGCAGGTAGGTGGCGCAATGGATAGAGCACTGGCCCTGAAGTCAGGAACACCTGAGTTCAACTCTGGCCTCAGACCAAACACTTGACACTTACTAGCTGTGTGATCTTGGCCAAGTCACTTAACTCCCATTGCCTAAAGAACAAATGAAGAAAGAAGAAAGATCCTCTGAGACTGTGGAACAAAGCACAGGTATCTTCACACAAAAATCATCCCCATGAAGCTTTATTTCTGTCATGGCAGTTTGAGGCAGCTAAGTGGCACAGTGAACAGAGTGTGGGGTCTGACTCATCTTCCTGAGTTCAAATCCAGTCTCAGACATTTACTAAGTATATGACCCTGGGGCAAGTCACTTAACCCTGTTTGCCTGAGTTCTTCATCTGTGAAAATGAGCTGGGGAAGGAAACAGCAAACCACTCTAGTATCTTTGCCAGGAAAACACCAAATGGGGTCATGGAGGGTCAGACACAACTGAACAACAACATGGCAGTTCAGTCAATATGGCTTACATGCGGGGCAGCTAGGTGGCGCAGTGGATAGAGCACCGGCCCTGGATTCAGGAGGACCTGAGTTCAAATTCGGCCTCAGACACATAACACTTACTAGCTGTGTGACCCTGGGCAAGTCACTTAACCCCATTGCCTAGCAAAAAAAACCCCCAAAACCAAAAAGCATCAATAGAAATAAAAAAAACCAACCCAATATGGCTTAAATGCTATAAAAAGGTTGCCTTCAACAAGCGATGATATTCCACCATTACCTTTTTTTCCTCTTAATGACTCACTTAGTAGAAGGACAGACATCCTCAGTTAATTCTCTGTTAGGTCTAGGATCGAAGTCACACTTGAAAGCTTGGTGGATGATAGAGAGTTTGAGGTGTGGGGGACTACAGAAGAGCTCAAAGAGAAAAAAAAAAGATCTAAAATTTGTAATCTTCCTTGTCTTCTCTTATCTTCTTGGCAGAGGAAAAGATGGAAGGAGGAAAGGAAGGGAGAAATAGGGAGAAGGAAAGGAGGACCTAGGAATGCTGTTCCAGAGTACTGTACTTCGAAACTAACATTCAAATCCTCTCTGACCCTAACTGTGTGACCCTGGGCAACTCACATCACTCTGTAAGCCTCATCTGTAAAATGGTTTTACATACAGTATAGTTTCATAGACAGAACTGGAAGGGACCTTAGAAGCTTAACTGGACATCTAACCCAACCCTGACATTTGATAGATGAGGACACTAGCTACTCATAAGGCTGTCGTGAGGAAAGTGTTTCGTAAACCTCAAAGTGCTATGTCAATGTGAGATGGTGATATTTGCTGTTAATGCGCATTCTTCATCAACTTTGTCAGTCACCTCTTCAACTCACTGAAGGAGATTTGGTGGGAAATTCAAATACTGAATCTGGAAGGATTTTGTCTTTTCCTGATCAGGTGGAGTTTGTCGAAGCCCTGCCCAAAACCATCACAGGAAAGATCAAGAGGAGAGAACTCAAGGAAAATGAAAAGAAGCTTAATCTGTGATCTACTTCTGGCCTCTATCTCAATTGCCTTGGAACCTGTGTCTCTCTTAAGTGGAGTCTTTGTCAGTTACATGCAAGGATTTAAGCTATACTAGGCTGGAATAAAAGAGACCAGGGCATTTTTTTCTCTTCCTGGCTTTTACAATTGATCATAAAAATTCATTTCCAGTTGTGATTGTGAGTGTGCCACAGAATGAAACTCCCAAAGTTATCTTAGTGATAGTGGATCATAATAGCAGCTAGGCAGCAAAGTGGATAGAGTGCTAATCCTGGAGTCAGGAAGACTCATCTTTCTGAGTTCAAATCTGTCCTTTAGACACTTACTAGCTGTGTGACCCTGAGCAAGTCACTTGACCTTGTTTGCCTCAATTTCCTCATCTGTAAAATGAAAAGGAAATGGCAAATTACTCCAGTATCTTTGCCAAGAAAACCCCAAATGAGGTCTCGAAGAGTCTGACATGACTAAATAAGAACAACAGAACCAACTAAGAAAAAAAGGTTATTTGGATCTATAAAAGGGATTTCATCATTAGGTCACAACTTAACCACATCAATTCCCGCCTAGTCTTGCCTAACTGACCAATTAGCCATTCCTCAAACTCAGTATTGCATCTCCTGCCTTTATGTTTTTGTCCAGCCTATTGTCCCCATGCTTTGGATGCATGCCCTCCTCTCCTCTTTGCCTTAGAATCCTTAACTCCAGAGCGCTGCTCCTTCTTAAAGCCTTTCTTGATCTCCTGAGTCCTCTATTCCTCCTCAAATAATCTTGCATTTGCTAAAAGTGTTTTCATGCTGTATCCCCTAGATCCCTGTAAGATCCTTGGGGCAAAGACCTTTTAGTTTTTGTAGACCCAGTGCCCAGTGCTTAATAAATGTATGTTGAACTGAGTTAGGCTTTGGGCACCTGGTGGAGGTGCCCAGTGTCATGATAACACTGAGGATGCATGGCATGCATAAGATTATGGATACAGAGTTGGAAGAGACCCCAGATGCCATCTGGTTCAACCCCTTATTTTTGCAGATGAGGAAACAGGCCCAGAGAAGTTAAGCAATTTACCCGAAATCACAAAAGGAGTGCTGGAGGCAGAATTGGAATTCAGAACATCTGATTCCAGGGTCAATGTGCTTTCTACTATGCCACACTGCCTCTTAGTTGCTGAATCATCAGGCCATAGTTCTCCTAAGTTTCCTAGTGTAAATTTCTATTGACTGGCATCTGCTTTTCCACATGAAGTCAAAGTTCATCACTGTCTTGCCTTTGTGCCTAATTCCTGACTACTTGCTGGTCAGACCCTTTTCTCTGTAGTACTCAAGAGCCTCCATTCCACTCCTAATTTCTGATAATTTTTGATGTGCAATTCAGGGGAAAAAAATCATCCCAGGAAAGAGACTTTGCTCCTTTTGCCCTCTTAGCGCCATCAACATATTTGCTAGATTTGGATCATTCTCTTGACTCAGCCAAGCAAGGTCAAGGGTTTTGACAAATAATTTTGTTAGGTTAATATTTTATTGGTGCATTTT